GACAGTTAGACTATATCTCCCAATTTTCAACTGACATACAGTACATCAAAGGGGACGCAAACGTGGTAGCTGATTCTCTTTCAAGAGGTGATATACACCAGTTTGAAACTTCAGTAGACGTCAGTCTTGACCGGATGGCTCAGTTACAAAGAGATGACACAGAACTTCGAAACTGTCGTGGAAACTCTTCCTTACAGCTCAGGGACGTACCTATTCTCTTGTCAGATGCCACTATAGTTTGTGACGTATCTACCGGCACTAATCGCCCGTTTGTTCCTCTCCAATGCCTGAAAGCTTTATTCGACCACTTACATTCCCTCTCTCACCCTGGAGTACGTGCCACCGTCAGACTCATCAGCGAACGTTTTGTGTGGCCTAAAATGTACTCTGACATCCGGAGATGGGCACGAGAATGTCTCCAATGCCAACGCTCCAAAGTACATCGCCACACTATCACAACGCCGAAAACGTTTGATTTACCGGACAGGAGATTTCAGCACGTTCATATAGATATCGTAGGACCATTGCCAACGTCAAGAGGATATACACATATCCTGACAGCCATTGATAGATTTACTCGTCGGGCTTTTGCATGCCCCCTGAACGATATATCTGCCGAAAATGTTGCTTTGGTTTTCCTCGACCGCTGGGTGTCAAATTACGGTGTACCAACTACGATTACATCCGATCGAGGTGCTCAATTCCAATCGACGCTGTTTCGTGAACTGACGAGACTCCTGGGAGTTAAACATATCTCCACAACAGCCTACCATCCGGCAGCGAATGGTCTTGTGGAAAGATTTCACAGACAACTGAAAAGCTCCCTGATGGCACAGAATGATGCATCTAAATGGAGTGAATACTTACCTCTGATTTTACTTAGCATACGATCAACTGTTAAAGAGGACCTTGGTTGTACACCCGCACAACTAGTTTACGGCACTACTTTAACACTGCCAGGACAGCTAGTAGCCTCTCATGACTCTCAAAATGTGGATATTTCTGAGTTTTCTGATCAACTGACCAGACGAATGTCACAACTTCAACCAATAGCTCCGAGACAATGTCCCCGCAGAGAAAACCTAAGTAGCCATCTACAAACCTGTAAATTTGTCTTTATACGGATCGACAGCGTCAGGAAAGGGCTACAACCTCCATATGAAGGCCCATACCCAGTAGTGCATCGCGCGGAAAAATACTTCACAGTGAGCAAAGAAGGTAAAAAGATGACGGTCTCCGTCGATAGACTCAAACCTGCTTACACAGATGGCGACGACATCCCAACTGCGACTTCAGCAGACAAACAAGAAACCGCCAAAGCTCCAGAGGTGCTAATAATGCTACCTCCCCCTTGCATTACTCGTAGTGGCAGACAGGTTAATAAACCTGCCCGTTTTGTACACTTTACTGATTAATATCTTTAACGTTGTAACAATTTTTTTACGTATACATTATTGATTATTGTTGTTAATTATTGACTTACGTAGTTTATTTGTGTCGGATACGACATCATTTTTGTGCCGAAGCATTGCTATTTTTTTACTACCTCAGTACTGTATATGTGTATATATGTATTCACAACTATTCTCCCATAATAACTACTATATTGGTTAGCGTTTTAACGGACATTATCTTTATTATTATTATTAGTGCCATTCAGTTTGATGCCATCGTTCCAATTAACATTGACCTCTTTCGCAATTTTTTTTTGTTCTTTCATGTGACGTATACTCACCTGTGTTTATTAAAAGAATATTTTTTGTTTTGTGTGCGTGTTCACTCTCCGTAATATGTATCCATTGTACTCCCACCCACTTCCAGTTCAGAAGTTGATGTCGAACTATTCACAAAAGCGTAAAAAAATCTTTTCCATTTTTTTCGTATTCCCATAGTGTTATGTAGCATTATAATTATTTTTCTTCTCCCAATTGTACTGCAAATCGTCGGCAGCAGTCCCTCCGGACTTCTAAGAGGGGGAGCCGTATGGCGGCCTAAAAACATATCAAATTATATGTTCACAAAAAAAAGAAGGAATTCGACCTTAAACCTTGAACCGCGCGCAAGGAAGGAATCGTTCGCCCTCTCTCCGGCTGCTCGCCCAGCACATCTGCTGACCAACGCTGTCTCGCACTGGTTGACACATCCCCGTCAAGAACTTTGCTCCTATCTGCTTTACTCTACGTGGAGACTTCCGACGGTTGACAGCTCTAAGTTGTAGTGGAGAATTTGTATAATCAAGAGAAGGACAATTACATTCCTATAATTTCGTACGTCTATAATTTGTGTATTCTGTGACTGTTATAGTTTTTCTTCAAATAATCTCAGTCCTTTTTGTGTATATTAACTTAAGTGAACTGAATATTTTATATAAACGTATTTGTTAGTACCTGTTCTGTACTTTTAATTGCGTTTATATACTTACCTAACTACTAGGTCCACTACAAATATGTGTAAATAGGCGTGTTTGCGCTGCATTGAAATAAAACTTTCTATCTAACATTCTTGTGTTCTGTTTGATATGCCTGCAATGGGAGTGCGGCAAGCTAGACCGGTACACCCCAGGATATGAACTGGCTACTATATGTAAAAATAACTGCAAAAATTCTTTTAATTTTTGATAATAGCTTGATTCCACACAGTATTTTTGGTACAAGTGTGGAATTTTCAGCATATGCTATCGGTAGCCCAAATTTTGGAGGCCGACCATTGATATCAGGTGTGTGTCGGCAGCGGATTGAACCCCGTACCATGTGCTTGGTTGACTAGATTCCCAAACGCTGTGACACAGGCACACTATCGACTAATATAGGTGATGACTTATAAGAATTTAGTGAAGCCCAAACATCTGCCTAGAGTCACGCGATTACGTCTCGGAGCCACAGGTGAATCTATAGGGACCAATGACAAAGAGCTTAATCCACGTATTCTAAATATAAGAAAACATCTTAGGCACTGCGGTAGAGTTTAATTTCATATAAGATTAAGTGCATTCAAAAGTAGTACACTACTATTAGTTCACTTGAAGTGTGTTGTCAATCCATATGATTACGGGTGGTAACGTATGTTTCGAGGTGATATTTACATGGGACGAATAATTGAGTAGATAGAACTGCAGCAATCATAGCGCTGTTTCACTTACATTGAATTATGCATCTGTCTCGTCATGATAACAAACTTATCTTCACTCAAACAGAATAAGATAAATAAAGTCAGCAGGATGTGAGATATATTCAGTGAAAAATAATAACAAGCATATGTCTGAACAGAAGTTTTTGTCGTAATTATTTCGGCGTTGTTGAATTACTGTGACCAGGTTGACTGACGTTACCGGACTTCTGCAAGTGAGCGAATAAAGTTTATTTTTGATTCCGTTGAAGTTAGAAAACTTATATTTCACTTGCCATATAGGCTTTCTTAACGAAGTCACTTATAGAAGAGATAGGAGAGAACTAGTGATTATCCTCTATTTCGATATAAGGAAAGCCTTCGACAAAGTTTCACATAGTCTGCTAGTCAGCAGGCTATGCTCACTAGGGATACACAACCCCCTCCTCAACTGGGTAAAATCATTTCTCTGTGACAGAAACCAGACAATAAAAGTTGGCTCGATGACCTCCAGGCCTAGACCATTTAGCAGTGGTGTCATACAGGGGAGTGTATTGGGCCCCCTTCTTTTTATTACATACATAAACAGTACGTGTGAGTGCTTTAGCATAAGTAAACTAATACCATATGCAGATGACTTAAAGATGACCTGTACATGCGCAAACACAGATCTTGGTATAACTGTGAACTTCACGTATAAAAGTCCGATAAATATTCTTCAGAGATGCTTATGGCATGATATGTCACCATATGTATCATTATCTTTTACACAATGTTACTTATTTCTTACTGCTGTCAAGTCGCTTTAAGTTGATATGTATCTAGGCACTTCAATGATAACCTATTTCTCATAATTTTTCAATTTGCTGTACCTCACTCAATAAGTTTGCGGTTACGATAGGAATAGTTTTAGAAATTTTGAAAACATGATTTGTTGACTGCAATGCAGGAGTGACGCTTATATCCCAAGGATCTGCACCTTGGATGAATGATGCAGTGAGCATCCACTGTAGACAACTGCACCGTGATATTCAGTTAATTTCTGTGAAGCAGCCAAAAGCCATTAGCAATCATCTGTGATAAAATCCGCTCATTCTGTGAAGTAAAGCCTACTGCTCCCTACCAGGGCTGCTTGTAAATTTTTGCGGGACTTTTGTGCAACTTTTAAGTTACCTTATTTTGTACATGCATTACTGACTGCATATTTATTTCTATATTCGTGTCTTTGTACCTATTTTGAAAAATGAGACTTTATATCTTAAACGAATACCTCAGACTCGGTTGTTTCCCACTTTCCTCCTGTTACAAAAATGTCATATAATTAGAAGGAATATCAGTGACACAGACGACATTCGAGGCACCGTGAAGATGCAGACATTGTGTATATAAATTAAAACAACATAAATCGCCACCGTTAGTATTCTTAGGAGTCTGTGCTTAAACGAACGGAACGTTTCATTATGCGTAACTTGGGCCATATGAGATCGCAAAAAATCTACGATCCAGAGTGAAAACGTTTTTTACCTTCCATTTTTAATTCGGCGCATTTCATCATGGCAGTATTGCAAAGATCTTAAAATCATATGCATCTTGAAATGTTCTTTACTATCCTCGTTTATAATAACATAAAAGCAAATATTTATATTAAAACCACATAAATGCTATTCAGAATACACGTGATTGTTGAAATATCATTAAGTCAGAAAACTTATCAGAAGTGCCTATGAAGGGGGACCTTATATCAATTTTCCTATTCACACTGTTTGAAAAGGTCTGCTTCATACATTTCAATGAAATTGGCTGTCTAACCAACCACTTTCAGGTTATTTTCAACTATTGTACTAAAGAGGTATTTGGTCTACTTCTTTCTGAAAGAATTAAATATACACCTTATCATGCGTAAATTTGGCAAAGTGCGTTCACATTCGAAAACTCGTCAGGATATCTAAAGCAAAACACTCCTGCCATCAGATCACATTACATACACGCAAATTTATATATTTTTTTATTTCCCTCACGTTCCTCAGTGGAACGTAGGGCTTCAAGCTAGAGGCTTGAAGTTTCTGTAGCAGTGCTTATTTTACAGGATGGGGTTGATAGCCTCATGCCCAACCTTTCCTCTTCACCAGCGTTATTTCTGGCTTAGCTAGGTGAAGGAGTGCGTCGGCTGGGGATCGAACCCCGGACCATGTGCATGGTCGGCGAGCGTCCTAACCACTATGCCACCGACGCACAAATTTATATCTGTGTGCATGAAATTCCACCCTTATTTTCAATTTTTCACCCTGTCATTTTATTCAGTATACCACAGGACAAACGACCATGTAACAACTATATACGACAGATTATTCAGCTGTCATTTGGCATCTGACAGTAGATATTGTGGTTATTGAACTTGAAAAGCAGCGGTCCCTATGACCCGAAAGCTACTGGGCGGGGTTCAAGGGATGATGTGATGTAAGAATTAGGGATATTGTGTCCCTACTTTTTAATCATGATATAACGATCTTTATGGCCTTTATGTGATAAGTTAAGCTTTAAGCAACAAAAGGTAACAAACGAGTGCCACCGCACCGATGACATTGAAATGCTCAGTTAGCAACCTAGCTATCATTTCCTTCGGCTCTGCTGCAAACTTTCGAGCAAAATACTAAAGGTATATTGCAGAAACCGGGATAGTTGTCTGTCGTATACCCCCAAAAGTGTGTGCAACGCACTCAAAGTGATTGCCAGCTGGGAAGTTTTCGAAAATAGGCAAATAATAACATGGTCATGAATAAGTGTGCCTGATGAAGTGTTAGTTTATTAAACAGAAAAACTGGTAAGTTTTAAGTCTGAAGAAGATTAATTAAAAGTCTAGACTAAGAAAAAGTTAACCAAAAAAGGTAGGTATTGTGTGTGTCGGTGGCACAACAGTTAGGACACTCACCGACCATGCACATGGTCCGGAGTTATATCCCCTATCGACGGACACCTGATATCAATTGGTTGGCCTGCAAAATTTGGGCTACCGATATCACATGCTGAAAATTCCACACTTGTACCAAAAATACGGTGTGGAATCAAGCTATAATCAAAAAAATATTACGCGTGTAAAACTTTGGAGCTGTGGTAGTGTATATATGCATAATTACATGTCTAAATGGTTAAAACACTTTGGAACAGTATTTTTTTGCTGGATGACGTCTCGAACAATTTATTGTTAATAATCATATCACTTATAATAACACAACTCCGAAACTTCTGTTTCACATTTTCCTTCATTCCTTCCTCTTCCAGATGTCCGGAGCAGGTGTTAAATCATTTCTGTTGCACGTTTCTTCAGTTGACTTAACAAATAAGGCTTCCGTTGTTAGTCTGTTCCTCCACTCTGCCATATCAGATATTAAAGCTAGTACGATCCTGTTGTATAATGGCATGTAGTGCTATGGCTGAACTATTTTCCAGATATCTCATGTTATTAGGGTCACCTGGTCTAGATTTTGCTAGGTTTTTGCGCTCCGCTAGTTTGATTTACTCTGTTTTACCACTTTGACTCATATATTTGACCTGAAAATCTTTGCAGGGTAATAGATAGACTAAATTGGTATGTTTAATAAGCTCCACAGGACTTTTTCAACCGACAAAGTTTGTTTCTGAGTAAGTTTGTCAGTTTGAATGCCACTTTTATTTATGCATTGTTAAGATTTCTACTTCGGGTTTCCGAGGTTCCTTCTTTGTATAGAAGTACTACTTACTTTTTTTTTTACTTTGCTTCGGCTATCTCCTACGGAAGGATGAGCCGGCTTCATGAACTTCTCAAATCATCGCTACCCAGGCACAGCGATCTGATGAAGAGAGTTTACGAAGTTTCATGGGAATTTGGTACGAGTGATGTCCCCAGAACCACTCGGCCTTTTGTTTGAGAGTGCAGCTCTAGCCTTTACACAACCAAGTGTGACCTACAAGGCAGTAGGAGTGGAGTAGGGAGTCCACTATCCATTGGCAGCCGGTGACCGGAGTTCGGTTCATACGCCTTTTTGAATGGGGCCAGACATCCAGGACATCCAACAAGCCCTTTGTCCATAGGTCTGTCGGTGAGCTCCAGTGAGCTTCATACGCCAGTCGTTGGAGGTTTGGAATCAGGGTTTAGCCATCTCCCCCAGACTGTCATTCAATGGACAGTCAACCCAGTGAAGAGCGCCGGGCATCCGCTTTCGCCCTCTCTTTTTGGTGAAAAACACCTCCGCCACGTGAAGGCAGTGAGTAGGACTTCCTCAGGAGAGGCTATGTAAGACGCCCGGTCATATGGGAGCATTTCAAGAGGTGTGCGGAGGGGTGGCCAACCCGCAGCGCAAGGCACCCACCCCCGACCATCCTGAGGCTTTGGAGGCTACTGATGACTTAAATTCCTTATTGTTGGTGTTGTCGTCATTCTGTGCATGCTTGTCACGCGTATCATTATTACTGTTATTATTTTTACTATCTTCAGTATTGCCACTATTATTATTTTTTTTTAACATTTTTCCACATACTTCCTGATTAATTTATCAAGGTAGTTATTGAGTTTCAAAATTTCTCTTTACGCCTCACTTGTCTTCAATTTCCCTTGGTACTAATTAGTTTTTGTGCCCTATTACTTGAACATTTCACCAATCCTATTATTACTGACTTACTAGTTTGAATGTGTAGGTTTTCTGTAAACACTGGATTATTACTTCCAATCTTTCCTTTTTATGCCACAGTTTAACATTGGGAGCTCCATTTCCTAACTTTCATAAATAAATTGAATTGCCTCTACCTTCGAGTTGATGTGTTCCAGAAATCTGTTTATGTCCTGTATTTCAAGTACGGTGAATGTGCTATCTACATATTCCCAAAATACCTTGAGTGTGGGGCTAAACTTTTCATTCGCTAGGTTTTCCCACCTATCCATGAATATACATGACAATATCGGGGATATTGTCGACCCGATGGCAACTCTCTAAGTTTGTTTTTATATTTTCTTTTAACATTTAAATATTGTAGAAGACTGGCATAGCTGCACTTTTAGTATTATGTCCTCTATCGGCATTTTTGTTCTAAGTTCAAGTTCCTAGTCAGAAATGAGTTCGTTTCTGACCGCTTCTATAGCCATATTTATCGGTATAAGTGTATCTAAACTGACGATGTCAAAACTAACCATTTTTTCTTCACTATCTAATTTTAAATTATCAAATCAATGTCTTAGTTCATAAAAATTTGTCGGTTTAGATTTTGAATGGCTTTTAAATATTTAAACAAATCACAAGCATGGGGATTTCTAAAATCAACAATAGGTCTAATAAGATACCCTGGTATATGAACTCTAACAACACCATAGGTCCTACTGAGGTTATTAGTTTTCGACTTCAAATGGAACCATTTAGGCTCACGTGGAAACGGCTTCATTCGGCCTATAAGGTCCGCTAGGGATTTCTTGACTTAATTCGTGTCTATTGATTTATTAAATTCCTCCTATGGTACTGTTTGTATGTGAGTATTAACATTCTCTAAATGGTCTGATTTATCTACTACTGCTGTTGAATTGCCTTTATCTGCATCTTTTGGTAATTGGTCCGCTACATTCACGTGGTCTTTGTCTAAAACATAAAAGCCATAAATACCTCCATTTCACAATTATGAAGCATGCATAGTAGTTTCGCAAGTGTTACTGCAATGTAAAAGACGTAATACAAAGTTCTAGTAAGTTTTCCAGCAAAAAAGGGAAATTAAAAGAAGTCAAATAAGATGTATACGAAGAATATTTCTAGGACAAATCATGGTGTTCAGCTGTATGTCGATAATGACTTTTCCAGAGTATCAAACGGTCGACCAAAGTTTTTTAGCAGGCCAACCAACTCTTGCCCTTAATAAACAACGACAATCGATGAGCTGTGGTGGTCCTATGTTCTGTTATCTCACTTTCACCTGTTCTTTCCGTTATCCTCTAGTTGTAGCTAGAATATGCACTCACGTAGGAAGGTGTAGACTTCCTGGTTGAGGTCATCGGGACGGTAAAAACCAATGGTTGGAAACAATTGGTGACATGGCTCAAAATCGTTCTCAATGGCTAGCGCAGATGCATCCACTCCTTGTGACTTATGATTTCCAAAGAAACTATATTGTTCCTCGTTATTACTATTCCTTTGTCTCACACCTCTGTTTACTGTCTATATTATGTATTTCTCCTACTTTCTTCTCTTGCTTTGTGTGCTACATGGAGTGTGGCGACTTGAACTGCCGCACATATGTGCAAAGTTCTATGTCGAAAACAGATAGACACAATATGCCCAGTAATACAACTACAGATCAATCATAGCTTGACTTCAGCAGCTATCTTCGCTGCATTTGATTGTGATGACGAGTCCATTTATCATACCATTAATTTCACATGTAACCTGACCTTACCATACGCCAGCATGGTCGTAGCCTAGGTTGTCCATTTTTGTTGCTACCATCGACATTTGTTTGCTGATTTCGATGGTAATAACCTAAAGTCTTTCATCTCGTTGTGATGCATTTGTCTCAGTGTGTCTTTTAAGGCATCACCTTTAGTAGGTAATATTGCCTCCAAGCTCAAATAACGAGGTCGATTATTCAGTTTCAGCTATTTAGAATATTGCGTCAATCATAATGGTTTCGTTGTTGATGAAACTTCGGTACAGGTGTAAATTATCACTGTGTCATATCCGGCCTTAGTTAGATATTCGGTTGTAAGTCAAAAGGTCTGTGTGCCGTTCAACGTTATGCTTTGTTTTGTATTCTGACAACAGCTGTCGAAAATATAAGATCTCCAACATTACAGGCTTCTGACCGTTAATTTCCTAGTTTCATGTTGGATTTTACGTGGAAGCATTTGATAAGTAATATGGAGGTCGTACTTAAAATGTTGAGTGAGGACGGTAAATCATCCAACCGCGCAATAATTCTCTACTAATTGCTAAGTGTGCCATGTGTGTCGGGCCATCCCGTTTCTCGACTAGCCTTATCCGCCGAAGGAAGAATATGCTGGTTATGCGTAAAGTATGATGAAAACAAAGCATGACATCAGTCCACCAAGTTTGTGGTGGCACACCAGGATACACAGCATGTTAAAACTCATTGGTCGCAGATGCTTGATGTCGTAGCGTAAAATTGTCCGCAGTGACGTAGACTTACTCACCTCTTCGAAATTCTTAAGATTACTAATCTACGTTAAATTCGCTTGTCTATTATAGTATCGTTCAGTATTAGTTAATCAGATCAGTGATATATTAATAAGCGTGTCGATGTTTTCTGATGTGGATTTCATGGAATGTATGGTTGAATCATCCATAAGTATCCTTATAGTTGGATTGGTTCATTAATTTAGCTGTTCCCAAGTTACACTTAGACGCCATCTCTCTATGTATCTTAGGAAGTCTGTCAATGTAGACACTATATCTAGGGTTTTTGTAAAAATGATTTTGATTTCGCTTATGGATCAGAGTGAACAACAATCAGGAATAGGCTGTACACTCAGCTTCCACATTATAGTTTTTCTGCTCAGTTAACTAGTCTTCTTGGGGTGTCGATGAATCATCAAAACTCACTACTCTTTCCAACATCATCTTTTCTGCAGTTTGGAATTCTAGCGATATATATATATATATATATATATCGGTAGTAAGCAACTGGGAGATACCTAGAAAGAAGAACACCCTATTTATCATGCTAACCCTATTCCTTGTTGACTGTTTGCGATGATTGGTCTAGCTATACATCATTTAGTCCTTAGTTTAGGAACCGACTACTACTTAGTGGTAATTTGGCATTGATTAACTGTTAAATTGAAGTTGGTGGTCATCAGACCAAATAATATTTTCATTAAAAAAAATTTCCCCCTTATGTGCATTTAACCAACATTCATTTACACTTTTAGTGCGATTTAGTGTTTATTAATTATTATGATGAATACCTTTGTTGTATTCCCCAAACTTACCTCTATTATACTGTTCACCTAATTGGTTTTAAGACAGCTAAAAGAAATCTATCATTTATTCGTGATAAAGACAAACCTCAGTAATTTAAGTAGTGTGCTTCCACAGCTCAAATGAATGAGGTTAAGGGCTGTGGATTTAGATTCCTAAAATAATCTGATATTGCATTTTCTTTTAACCCTTCCAAAAGGTGGACTCGTTATGTTCACTGTGGACTGCATAAAGAAGTTATACATAATCATAAAATTGGACTGTGTGCTAGCAATGATTGATAGTGTATTGTGTGTCCAAATGGAAGAAATTGCCTGGAATTACTGTGTTGTATAGAAAATAATAGTAACCGGGACTGTTTTTAATGTTTTATTCGGTTCCTTCGAGTCTGTAAAAATGTATTTTCATTATTTTTGAAAATTTTTTCAGGCATCATCAAGCTGGTCAGATTACCCCTGCAGCATTCAAAAGTGCTGTCCATGATTTACATAACCATTTGGCTTGTAATTCTAACAGTACTGAGGAATGGTTTATTGATGAATTTGCAGAACAACCGGTTGAACTGGAGATGGTCTGTCGGAAATCTATTCCACTTAGAAAATCAAGTGATTCATCGACTGACGCAATTGTTATAGAGTATCGTGTAGTATACAGTGAGAGTTACCAAGTGCCTGTTCTGCTTATTCGCTTTCAAACAAAAAGTGGCCGTTCATTACATCATGACAAATTATGGTGTGAAAACTTACGATCTTCTGCGTTCCCGATTTCAATGAACCCTTTGCCTTTATCCGCTCTCAGTGAAATTGAGCATCCTCATTTGGGTATTCCGTTCTATCAATTTCATCCTTGTAAAACTGCTGATCTCATGACTGAAGTATTTTCCTCAGCCTCTGTTAATTCGATAAGTCCGCTAAAATACATAATCATGTGGTTAAGCTTAATTGCATCTCCTCTCGGACTTAATCTTCCTCAATCGTTATGTTCCTTATAAATGTTATGAGATTTTTAAAACCTCAATATGTATTTATATTTTTGTAAAGGTTTTTAAATGTTGAGATAACTGTAATTACCCTTTTATTTGAGTTTTGGCCTTACTCTTGACCCATCAACACTCACCACTTTGTCGATATGTCACTTCTTATTGTAATCTTATCTTCTGAAGTTGAACAGTGTTGTGATCAAAGTTCAGACAAATAAGAATTTAAAAAACTGAAAGATTGAGCGAAGAAATATTTACTTTTCAATTAGATCCTCATCTCTAGCTCTACTCTAATATACATAGCATTTTTATTACAATACACAACAGTTTACCAATCAAGTGGCGATATATTTGTTAACAATAATTAGTCAGTGTCAACATGTCAATGGGGTGATAATTAACGAAGAAAATCAATACACATTTAAAAAGTAGAAATGGTTAGAATAAATTAATTTTACAAGGATAACACGTAATTAAAGATGAAGTGGTCAAAATAAATAATAAAAAATAATTTGGACAATTATAATTTTTAAAGGTTTAGGGGGAGGGGGCGAAGTAGTCCAGTTTATACATTCATGTAACGATGGCCAAGGTAAGGAAAGTGGCTGTACAAATTTCTTCTGAACATACAGGTTTGGCTTCTTCACTGTGTAATATTGCAGTTAAAAGAGCTTATTATGCAGCAGAGATACGTTGTCTCTTCACAACCACCCCTATTCTACGTTCGGGAAATAAGGATAAACTACCTAAATTTGCCTCTTCTGTGTGTATCTACCAGTTTGACTGCAGCTGCGGAGCCAGCTACATTGGGCGTACAATTAAGCAGGTTCATCATCGTATTTCCGAACATCTTCCAACATGGTTAAGCAAGGGACAAACAAGATCTGTTCGTAGCTCTATTGTAGCACACCTTGTAGATAGTGAGCATAAGGTTGACGTTAATACTGCATTTAAAATTATTTATCGCATTCCTACTAATCTTAGTTTTGCTCTACGAGTTCGTCTTCTACATACAGCTGAAGCAATAGGAATCCACCTGAAGAAGCCAAACCTGTATGTTCAGAAGAAATTTGTACAGCCACTTTCCTTACCTTGGCCATCGTTACATGAATGTATAAACCGGACTACTTCGCCCCCTCCCTCTAAACCTTTAAAAATTATAATTGTCCAAATTATTTTATTTTTTCTGACCACTTCATCTTTAATTACGTGTTATCCTTGTAAAATTAATTTATTCTAACCATTTCTACCTTTTAAATGTGTATTGATTTTCTTCGTTAATTATCAACCCATTGACATTTTGACACTGATTAATTATTGTTAACAAACATATCGTCACTTGATTGGTAAACTGTTGTGTATTGTAATAAAAATGCTATGTATATTAGAGTAGAGCTAGAGATGAGGATCTAATTGAAAAGTAAATATTTCTTCGCTCAATCTTTCTGTTTTCTGAATGTTTAAATGGGTTTTTTTCTGTATTGAAATAAGAATTTTATTATTTTGCTTCAGTGTTTGTGCAATGTTATCATTTTTTACTTCGAATATTAAAGAAACCAGCAGTTTAATTCGCCTATATATTCCCAGAGGTGCTTAAAAATCTACCATTGTAACAAACCACTAATTAATGGTAACTTTAAACACAAATAAGAATGAGTGTATACCATTTCCATTGAACATGTAGTTCTTCAGTGGAAGAATTTGTTTAAGTAAATTGAACAGTCCTAATTAGTGCTTAGTAGTGTACTTAGCGAAGTTGCAAAACTTAACAGCTTCGCAGAAATGTATATATACAAAAGTCAAAAATCTCGAAAAATAGCAAGAACATTAATATACATGCAGCAGACAAATGTAAAGATCTAGGATGTTCAGTGTTAGGATAAACATAGGAAGCTCATGTATCTCAGTTATTGTGATAAATTTTGGACCATTTCCTACATAGATAGGGATATATATATATTATTATTATATAGTCGTATCAAGTGACGAGTTTGCATTGTTCATACTAATAGTTCTTCAGTCCAAAAGTGTCATGTAGTAGATGCTTGAATTCGGTCTGTAAGATAATGTGCATTTGGCTTTCCTGCTTCGTAGCAGTGGGTAACGGCCGCCTGTGTAAGTAAGAGAAAGTATATGCGATCCAAGCGCTAGGAAGTAGCAAAGTACTCTAAACACTTTAAATGACATTCAGGCGATGTCTGAGATGCTTTTATTACTATTTGAGTGTGACTTAATACTTTGGAATTAAATTACATGAATACACCAGTTGATTTTAGGTATAAATGTTGGATGCATCGACCATTCCACTCAGAAAATCAAATAGCTATAATGGGTTGCTCGCTGACAAGATCTAGGCCTAGATTTAAATGGCTTGTGTTACTTTTACCAAGTTGTTCCACTTATAGGGCAGGCGAGATATTGGGTGAACCACCAAAAACTGAGTGCAATGTGCTAATTTTTCCTGTGTCACCCTCAGAATATCAATATTTGATAATTTTTTATTTCTTTACAGCTTGAAAAATTGTCAGAATAAATTTCACTAGGTTCCCGTCGTAATTTGAATTTTTCATCCACTGGCTAATCTACCACTTACTTTAACCTACTCATTTTAGAGTTAACCTGTTCAGCAAATTATAATACTTAGTGAGAAAATTTTGTCAGTGGTGTGATCGCTTTCTTTTTCAGTTTCATAATGTTACTTACTAGTCGGTGTTTCTGAAGTATTGTGAGAAAGGTCGAACAATTATATCAATATATCTTTGGTATATTCTATCTATTTATAAAAGCTTCTTGTTATACATAAGTTTAAATTACAAAATTGGATTTATATCAAAATGAATAGTAAAAGAACCATGACGTGGTGTCCGAAAAGTTATGAGAAAAATGAGTGGACATGTGACTCAATTTGGTCCACAAATAAAATCAAACTGGAGAGAGTGGCACGAAAGTTCAGGGCGATGAATTACCTCAGAAATGAGGGATTTTAGTCTTCTAGCATATGAAATGTTATGATCATGCATTTAATTTGTGTGTAATTATAAGAAAGAACACAGTGTTTTTATTTTAGGTTTATTTATACACTATATAAATCATTCTGAAGGACAGTTTTTGTAGATATAATCTGAAAGTGCATTGCAAATATAGAAATAAGTGAACGAATATATAGGCAAAAAGTCATATCTTAGCAGTATCATATTGTATAAAAATTATAAGTAGTGCATATCTTAGGGCAATTATTTTTTTCTTCTCTTCCTTCTACCCTTCCTCTTGCCTTTCCCTTTTTTCATTTTCATTCCTGACCAACGAAATCCACGGTAAACTAGTGCACTTGGAGCATTGTGAGCGATGTAGTACAAGTTCTCCATAGCTATTTTACCCAATATGTCAATTTCCTGTTTAATCTTTTTCTGTCGGGGTGAATCACCCCTTTTGTGTTTGATCTTCCCCGATTTTCTCTTTTTTCCTCTTTTCACCTTTGATTTTCCTCTAGGTTTAGGCTGAAATAAAGATTCAGAAGTCATTTCCACTAAACAATTCTTTAATTCGTTTGAAGTTATGCAATCACATATTCCTTATTTATGCAAGGAAAATTTTCGAATTCAGTTACTTATCACTTTCACTGTCATTTTTAAGTGTTACTGAATGAGAAAAAGCTAAAGCAGTTATCCCAATTCCTAACATATGTATATATGTCTACCAGGCTTTTCAACATTCTCGTAGTAATTTGGAATTTAATTTCATCGAACTGTGTACTTTTCACGTCTGAAAAAGTAGAAACTAAGTTTCACTGAAATTTGTGACACTTATTGTCTTTATAAGTTTTGTTAATCATTTCTAGATTTGACATATATGAAAGCAATACTTATATTTGCAATTCGGAAATTATTCAGATTTTCCACATTTCATATCGATTATTACTACTTTCCATAATATATTTTGATGATAAAATTGGGGCGTGATGTACGTTTACAGTATCAGTTAACAGGATAAATTTGGACCAATTTACAGTAATCAATATTTGACTTGCACATGGTCGGGTTCGATCCCCGGCCGACGCACTCCTTTACCTCGCTTAGCCAGAAATAATGCTGGTGAAGAGGCTAGCAACCCATCCTGTAAAAACAAACACCACTGCTACAGAAACTTCAAGCCACTAGCTTGAAGCCCTATGTTCCACTGGGAATGTGAAGGAAAAAAATATTTGACTGATTTTCTTTTAAAAACGTGACAAACTTCAAACTTTCTTCAGATAGCATAGATGAAGTTGTTGTACACTGCTTAAGGCATTTCTCCACAGGCTGAAGTGAAGATCCATACGAATACGTTTTACGTTGAATTTGGATGTTTTAACCCTGGAACTTCACTTAACTTCCAAAAGTTTAAAACATATAGATCTGCTATATAGAATGTTTGAAAACAAAACTAGGAAGTATCATTCAGAGATTGATGAATGGTGTTAAAATATCATTATCTTGAACAACTTTGCTATCTGCGTCAGATATTTTATCTCAACAACCTAAGTTGGAACTAGTCACCCCAAAATTATGTAGGGATTTGCAGTTTTATATGCGACACGATGTTTCTTCTAATGATCATTATTTATTTTTTCCTCTTTTGCGTTTACCAACAGTCTGTTCATTTCGTCTAACAAACCTTCAAACACTGCATCTAAACAAAGTATTTGTTTTCCATTTGAAGTATAGAGAATTTTACTAACTAAATGATTCCAATCTTTGTTAGCGCTGTCAAAAACTTGGAAGCAACATCAATCATTCCCGTCTATAAAAACAAGACAAATCTTTCTGCTGTAATCATAGGCATCAACTTGACTAATTTAGCATATAAGGTTTTAGTGACAATGGTTATATGAAGACTAAACAGTTATTGATAAAAACCATGCACGATTCAGGTTCGGATGGAGGTACATTAGTCGTACCTTCTCCTCCTTCCGAGTTCTTGAACAGGCATTGTTACCATTGTCACAAGCTTGCTGTGTTTCTTGACATAAGGCTGACTCTTGGTGCTATGAAACGATAGGTGTTGTGAAAGTGTTTAGATGTAGAAAACGTGTTGAGAAAGTATATTGTATTAACCAGGGCCCACTACTCCAACATACACAGCCATGTAAGAGCTTATGGAGAGCTGTCGTGCAAAGTGATGATAACGATTTGTTTACGTCAAGGATGTGCAATATGACTGTATTTATTAGATTTCATTGCGGAAATTACGGTGGTTTTCATTAATGTAAGAATAAAATTTGGACGTTGTGGTGGAGTACGGTCCCATAATTGAGTAGTGTTTTATCAAATGAAGTTATTCTGTTACGGTTGTGATTAAGGTTTTATTTAGAGTACTTATAGATGAACACTCATAAAAAGCTGGTATTTCCGAATGCCTTGAGTATACAAGGCACTTGCTTCGAACTTGTTAATTGTAAGATGATGATGAAAGACTAGTCTACACTGATGCATAGTTAAAGGATTATAAATGAAGTGGTCGAATGTGTTGACCACTTGTTTATAAAGGTTTATTGGCTATAGTGGGATTACGTGACGAACACAGAGGGCTCATCTGATATTTACGAATGCATATAACCTTTCGTAGTAGTGATATATAGTCATCTATGAAGTAACATGAAATGTTCTTTCATTCCTACTTTCTACCACAGAGACTAATGTTTTCACTGGCTGTTAATGCCTGCTCATACCAGAGATACTATAATTTTTAGACAGTATACAATAAGTAAATTCTGTTGTTTTCTAACGTTAAATATTTGCTCCAGTGGTGATAGTTGATAAACCAACAGTCAAATTACTGTATCCTAATGATATCAATTAATTAATAATTTCATGAAGGGCCAATTATCTGTTTTAACGCATATTCATTCATCTAACGCCAAACAAGCTTTAGATAGGCAAATGGAGTTTACAAGCAAAAATGGAAACACTAATATGCCAAATGAAATCTGAGAAGAATCATGGAATCAATAATAGCTTCAAGCAATGAACAGGGTTAAAATATACGTTTCAGGAGAATATGACTAAGTTCATCATTGTGACTTATAGTTTCGTTAAAATAATGAGATGTTAGATTGAATGGTGGGATTATTATTTATATATGTGTAATTATAGCGGAGTTCAGCGGTAGACCAATGTTGTCGTATGCAGAAGGGAAATCAAACAGTACTACAAGACATAGATTGAACTATAAAAATTAATAGTTTATGCAACACATGATACCAGTTATATATATATATATATATATATATATATATATATAGGCATCTGAAATCAACATCTCTGGAGGAAAAAGGGGTAGTTGTCTAAGTTCACCAATCTCAGTGTAACTGTTAAGAATCTTATGAGCGCATGTCTTCCAAAAATGATTGTGGATTTTGCCTATTTTCAGAATGGCATCTGTGGACCAAACTGGACTTATCAACAGTGAAACTGTATTTTTCTAATTTCAGATTCTGAAATGAAATCGGTAAATGATGAACTTCGTCATCGTAGACTTAAGGATTATGGAAATTATGTTATGCAGTATGTGAATGGAGCTTAAAATTCTGAACAAATGCCACTAGGCACTGGACTGATGCGGAAAAATAGCACAGAGTTCTTTTGTGTAGAATATATGGTTACTTGGGGATCTGACTACCACAGGTAACAGCGTTTTTCAGAACTTACGACCATCATTTGTAAGCTCTCCAGTTAACAAATTTGGGTTGACATAGTGTAAATATTCTCGAGAATCTTGACCCTTTGGCCGGACAAACCAAAATTAACCCTCAAATTTCCCCGATATTTTTTATTAGGGTTGATCGTATACAACTTTATGCACCATATTTTTTCCAGTGAAACGAATGTTACAAATAGTTTCAAGAATTTAATTCAAGTTTGGTCCCTCTAAATGATACATCAACTAACCATTTACACTGACAGTTGTAGTGAAAAATCTTTCGTATATCCACTCCCTCTAAAGTCATGGTAACTGATTCAATGTACAACATCCATTTAACGGGCTTACGTAGACCTTATGATTTCTTGGTACCCGCTCACTGCTGTTTCAAGACAGTTCCAAGTTTTTGAATGATCCCAATAAAATCTACCATCTCGAGCGTCACGGCATTTTTATGCGTGATACGATTAAGTGAACTGAATTCCTTCGGATGGGATCCCAGGCTTCTAATTGTAGAGGATGTATGTAAGTGACATCCTTATTATTCGTGACGATGAATTTAGTTCGAATAATATACCAAATTCATTTGATGGCTGCAACACATCGATGTGGTTCACACCTGACTAGAGAACGCGTTTAATATTAATATTCTTGATGTAGGGTATTCACGTGGGCGTGATGGAACCCTGTGAAGATAGGATTATAGAAAAGTTAGAAGGAATAGCCAATTGTTAAATTTCTGAGGCTCGTACCCGCTGGTCACAAACGTAACCTGATTGTATTGCTTGCTAGCCACATTCGATTCATATGAAGCCCTTTTAGCGGCAGGTAATTTCCCAGAATTATCGGCGACAGCATTCATCAGTGAACATTGGATGCTGACCCTCACCGTTTTATTCGATTTGTTTAGCTGAAGGCTTCCGGTCAAGCATCCACGTCATTTGGTACGATGTCGTGTTACGTTCGTTCGTGCACGATCCCTAGTTAGTTAAGCAGTCATCTCGCACTCCGATTTTGTCCCGAAATATAACTCGTAGTTCGGAGGGTCAGTTCTGGTGTTTTTATTTGCCTTTGATCTACGCGGAACGAATACTATAGAAGTTGTTGACATTATATCTTGCGTTAGTATACTTCGTACTATCCGTGAACTTCAATACATTTAGCCTCTAGACCCTAATGCTGCTGAGGGAGAGCAGAATCTTTATAAGTAAAATCCTAATTAAAAATGGATATCCGCCACGTTATATAGGCAGTGCTGTTAAGGTACTGTAATTTTTTTGTTTTGTTTATAGCTTGATTCCACACCCTATTTTTTGGAATTCTCAGTATGTGATATCGGTATCCTAAACTTTGCAGGCCGACCATAGATATTAGGTGTGGGTCGGCAGGGGAAATAAAGGCCTTGAATTCAGAGGTTATGACATCTTTAAATGAAGGACCTAGCCGAAGCTTCGTGAAGAATAGTCCTTCCTTGTTGACCACTACTTTTTAATTACCCAAAGGACAAGATCCTGCAGTTTACCAACTCTTTGCATGTTTACCATTTCAAGTGCTATTGCGGAGCTAGGTATAGTCTACGTTCGTCGCTAGCTACTTCTGAAGTGTGCAGAGACAATGGCATATGTTGTCATGACGAGGTGAAATGGAGCTATAGAAAGCCTTGCAATTGACACTGGTCATTTTTCTATAAAGTTCAACGTTTGTTTGTCTAGAAGTAGAAATATAACTTGCTGAAATCACTACCTACCCAGCAAGAATGCATCAATAATGCAGCAATTATCGAAAGAGGAAGGTCAGAGCTGTGCACAAAAGTGAAGCTTGTTCGACTACTCCGTTTCACAGTCCTATCTCTCATATTTTAAGTAACAGTAGTCCTGATTTCTGCCTTTTGTTCTGTTTATCCATTCCTTGCAATTTCGATTTGTAACATTATTTCAGACTCCGAGGATTTCATTATAATTTCAGATGTTATTGTTTATTCATTTAATTTTGCATCATTTCACTGTGGTTAAAATAATGGGATGTAAGGTCGACTGGTGTGTAATTATAGCGAAGTTCCACTGCGGTTATATCTTAGTGAAATTCGCTACTCGTTGTTTACTTTTCCTACTTATCCCATTAATCCTAAACCAATTTACAGGGCTGAAGCATTCCATGGGCTTTTTTCTATCTACCTATGATTAAAATCAGAAACATCTTTTGTTAACTCTCATTATTATCTCACAGAAACCTTGTAATGTATAAGATTGTACGCCTCGGTGAGGAATTTGTTGAAAAACAGTTACTCTGAAGAATAAACTGTAAGTGACAAACTGAAAGGAATACGAGTTTGGAGTGCAGTTTAACTGCTCTCCTCTGGTGGGAATTTCTAAAGAGACTAGTTTGCGATATACCATGGTTTCTTCACGGTATTTTGTATTTTTCCTGATGATTTGGTTTTGTGCAATTTATATACCGTGTCTGAATAGCGCACAGCAACAGGATAACTCAAAGTATTTGGATGCAACACTTGTTGCCTATCATTACACGACCAGCATTTCTGTCCGATAGTGCTTCCAACAGCTCTCATTTGGATTTCTCTGAGTCTTTACTGTCCCCTTTCTTGTTGGGGGGAAACCAGGCCGTGGACTTTTGAATATTTTCGTACACATGTTATGGGTGGCCGCAGACACCTAAGTGATCAGGGGATCAAAGAAGTTCGTCAACTCAACTGAACCTCAGACGTTTCACAGTCAACGATCAGTTTGTTTATCCGTGCTAATTGAAAGACATGGTAGAAAATATCACCTTCAGGGGACAAGGGCTCTGCAGCTTCGTTGTGGTTTGATTGTCTACGCATACAAACCCACCAAATCATAGTCAGTAAATACATCTTTCAGCATCCGTGACTGTTATATTCTCGTTTCGCTAGTTGGGGTGGTGTTATGAACAGCGTGGCCACCAATTTGATTGATACATATTAGTTTGTTTGTTAGATGTATCACACAGTGAAACAGTATTATTATTGGGTGATACAGGCCAAAGAGCCAGTAATTAGTGTGGTTAAAGTTCGGGCCTAACTAAATAGATGGCCACTAAAAAGTCATAGCCGGGAGCTGATCGAAGTATGGGACGACGCTTAAGTATCTTGTTTCCCGGGATATTAGTTATACATGAGACGCAATGGGAACTGTTATTCGAAAGAGATTACTTTCAGACGTCATACCTCAAGTGTTCACTTTTATATTCCTTTGAAACTGGCTTCTGTTAACTAATCACGAGCTTTTGTTTGAGCACAAATATCACTGTCTCCAATAATTTTATACAACAACTAAAATATTTCACCGTACCCACTATGATTAGGAATAAACAGCGGTAGGAGGTAGGGGTATTTAACTGCAGCTGACTGGTGATAGGTTTTGGTTAGCACCTAGTCGGAAACCTCATGCAGACAACAGAGGAGAGAACCTCGGTATCAACCAGAAAAGATACGTCTACACCATGAATTTTACTCTCAAGAATGTGTGGGGATTTCAAACATTGGTTTAATAAGACTACTTTTTTTATTACAGCTTGATTCCACACCGTGTATTTTTGGTACAGGTATGAAATTTTCAGCATGGATATCAGTAGCCCAAATTTAGCAGGCCGACCATAGATATCGGGTGTGTGTCGGCAGGGGATCAAACCCCGGACCACATGCATGATCGGCGAGAGTCCTAACCACTGTGCTGCCGACGCACATTAAATGGCTCACCTGGAGGTCTTCTTCCATTGTGTCCGCATCTCCATGCACTGCGACGACGATACTATCATCTGTCCAGTTAACCGTTTGGTTTAGAAGTGGTAGTAGGTGGTGTTGGAGGCTGAACCGTTGACAGGGCTTCAAAGCAGCCTTGTCGGGGCGTCGGGATAGGCATTTAGTTCAGGATTTTTTCAACACTCCCGAAGCGTTTGACTACCCCCAGAACCTCTGGCATTGAAGTCACTCGGTTGCACAGTAGTTGACACTTAAGCTCGTAGAGTAGGAGGTCCTGTGCGAAGCGGGTACAAATAGCCTCATCGTGACTCGCACAGGAAAGAGTTGGAAAAGCGCAGGACGCAATCTCGCGAATTTGGTGAATGTAGTCGGCAACCGTCTCTTCCGGCTCTTGACGACGGTTTAGGAAGGGGTGCATGTATGAGTGGGAACGAGAGGGTTCACAATGCAGTCATCTAGTATGCACTAGTTATCGTTGAGCATCTTGCATGGAAAGAATCCCCCAGCGATTGCACAACGTAAGGCAGCACCATTCAATGCTGGCATGATCTGGTTGTACTGACCTCGTGGCGAGAGACCTGTGGGGTGACATTCCATCCAGAATTTCTACAACTCGTAGTCACTGCTGATGTCCGGGGGCGGCGGTCCTCGCAGAAGAAGACTGTACTCTGTGGTTGAGGGATGTGTGCTGGCTTTCTGGACAGATCACATCGCAGGAGCTTCATATGAGTCCGATTTCATGTTGAGACTGAGTTTAGGGCACCTCCGACAGAATTTGTAGCAGGAAAAGCAGCAAGCACACATATAATATAAACAGGACACGAGTTATGCAGAGAACTTTTATTCCAGGAGAAACATATTTGAAAATTTTGAGGATCCAGCCGTAGAGTCGAACAGTCTTTTTTGTTTTCGCGAAGGTGTAGTTACTGCAGTTATTGTATACCTTGATCCAGATAACTGACTCCCGGGTATCTTCCTGCAAGTAAAGAAAATAAAACATTGGTTAGTGTTTATTATATAGGTTTTTTGATTACAGCTTGTGGGGGGGGGAAATTTATTTTGAATTCAGCGCCAACGAAAATCACCTAAAATAGAAACAGTCGGCAGAAAATTTGTATAACACTTTGCTTCTATATTGTTGTGGTGAGAGCTGTCTACTAGCCAATTGGTTGACAGTAACTGAGGTCAATGCTTATGTATCAAATATTATTCATGTTGTGGTGAGAGATGGTTGCTAGCCAAATTGGTTGACAGTAATTGAGGTCAAGGTCAAGATGGACAGGCGGATACAGTTAGCATAAAGATGAACTGACACAGCCACAAGAGATGCAAGGTTAACTTTGTGTGAGAAACAACCAATCAACAGATTGTATTTTCTACTAACATTAACCTACAATAATGTACATTAAAATCTATAAATACGTGTTGATTTTCCGTAATAAACGTTCCGTTGCCTGGCCCTTGTCTTCTGTTGTTACATTTTAACTATTATTACCTTAAGTATGCATTTATTTATGAATCAGTACTTGAGGTTATTTTGTCATTTGCCTTATGTTTGAGGCCTGAATGTTGGCATCTTTTCATTCACGAAAAATTGAGAACAGACGTCATTATTTTATTGGCATAACAATCAATGAGACATAGATGCATAAAATGTCGATCAGTTCAGAACAATGGAAGAAAATAATAAAAATTATTCAAAAAGTTGGATTCGATAGATCGTTGGCCCGCAAACATTTGAATACCTAGCTGCAGACAAATTCCAATGAATTTGATTTCAAACTAGATATTAATCACCGTGATCTGTTGTATCAAGGACCTCACAACCTAAGGCGAACTACAGACACTGTCTGATGGAATCATAAATGACTAACTGGTAACAACGATATGTTCTTTTTTCACGTGCAGACATCTTCCTGACACACGAATCAAGGGTTGCACACATCAAAATGTCTGAAAATAGATAAGCCTTTCAGAGATTCACCAATGTGTGGGAGGACTGATTAGCATTCTGAAAGTGTTTTGGCTTTGAGTCTTCCTTAATAACTGCAGGCCATCACTTTGCTACTTGCTTTGCTCGCAATTCGCAAGGATGAAGTTGGTAGAGTGTCAATTAGCGTGATGACTCTCATGATAGAGGACTCTGACCTTGTTAGCCTGCATTATTCCTCCAGAAAACTGATGGAGAGAGGAAAACATTAACTGACCGATTGTCATGATATGGTGCGGGAGATCTAAGGACTCATCAGAATTATGATTCGGACGTAAGATGTCCGATAGGGAATCTGTAACAGACGTGACAGCAAGGGCAGTCGTGAAGCACACGAGGTTAGCACACGGCTTTTGGGCTATGGTATATGTGAAGAAGGGTTTTTGGAAAAATCAACCTGCTTACGCTTATTCTTATCATGCGAAGGCAACTGAAAATACTGTGAGAAGTTCGTACTCAATGGTTGCGTCGATTTCGGCTTTCGCTAGTCGGCCGGTACAAGCTGCCACGAAAAGTCAAACTTGTTTTGTGGCACTTATGAAAGCCTTCGTCCATTAGAGCAATAAATTTCTGCAAAACTAGAGCAACATTAGGCGATAAGAGGGAGAATAAGTGTGGGTATATGATCATCAAGATAAATATTCATGAACAGCTTTTGATGTTTTGTTGGCACGAAGTAGGTGGTGAGATCAGCTTCGAGAGACTCGTAAAAGTAAGATGAAGAGTTGATATAAGAATAAAACTTGTGCACTTTGGTGGAGTGTAATTCCATTATGGGTAAATTTTATTTTGTTTTGATAAAGTCTCACAGTGTGTGTGTCTCTCACTGTGAGACTTTATCAAAATAAAATTTACCCGTAAGATGCAGAGTCATCCACAGGGACTAACATTTCCTAAATACTGTTTGAAAGCAAGCTCATAGTACTCTAGTTCAGTACTTGCGAGTATGTATGTTGCGAGAAAAATTTTGTTTTTCCTTACTCTATATTAGCCATCATCAGTATATATTCGCTATTTTTCTATCGCCCTAATTTTTTATGATACTTGTGGATTTACTGATGAGGGAAAAAACTTGCATTACAGCAGTACCGCAGTAGAAATACCAAACATTAAGACGCAGATGTTAGCAACTTCCATACACCTTAGGTCACGGTTGGTAGGTGAAGAGTTTGATCTCACAGAAGAACCACCGCAGATCAGATAAAATTATTTAACCAAAAAGAAATGGTTCAAAGAAACCAGTTTCTTAAACTGGATATTGAATAGAATATGAGGCTGTTTCAAATGTGCGCGCTGTAAGCTTTTTATTTGCAATTTCTGCTTGAGATTTTTATGGTGAGATGAGTATACTTTATTGCATGATTGAAATCCACTCCTGTAGTAGTTGATTTAATTGTCTTTTTTGTTCTCGTCGATGATGGCGATATATTAGTCTCATGTAGATGTAAGAATATGTACTTATGCGTAGACAAATATCCCTAATGAAGACCAAATACATAAAACTCGACTAATAGGAAATTTAGCTTTCAATAAAACGCGATCCAGAAACAATGCTTATGGGTGAAATACAGGAGTTTTATATCATGTATGTATGTGATTATATAGTGATGTAGCTTCTGACGCTGATACGCTAACTTGTGGGTCTAACTTTCAGTTAAAAGCTTGGAAGGCTGGCCCCTTAAAAGGACCACTTGCTTCGATCTGGGCGTCCGTGCAGTGTTTTGCCTTCATACCGACTAAGATAGTGTGGTGTCAGTGACGTGCCAAGATTGTGATTTAATTACATTAATGATAAACTTCGTTTCACGCAGTCGTAATGTGTTAGCAGATCCACATCACTCATTCGCAATGTTCTGTTACGGTGGTACTAATAAATAACATCAAGTCATCAAATGTTTTGTTTTCTTCAACAATTTTATTTTGTTGACACCAGTCCCATGGTCCGTTTGCTGGAACAAAATCGGAAAACTCATCCAATAAGGCCTCTTGCATAAATAACTTGTTTCGTATTAAAACATGTACACCTTGGATGTCACATGTAAATTTTATTTTGGTGATTGAAAGGGATTTATTCATGTTGGATATTTATCACTTGTAAAGCACCTCTAATTATTTTCGTTTAACCATTGCCTTTGATGTAACTCATGATTTTGCTATCTTCCGTCTTCTGCTGCTTCGTACTCTCGCCTTATGTATAGGTATTCCCTTCTGGGTTATTTGAAAATTCATTATTCACTAAAGGAATACAGTCCGCGTAATTATTGGCTAAAATTTGTTCCTGACACTAAATTATGCTCGGTAATTTATTAAAATTCAGGTAGTGTTTAGGTCTGAATATATCACTTTAAAATGTAAAAGTTAACTGAAATTATAGTTACAACTGTGAGTAGTGTTAACTCTTTCACAAATGTCTTATTAAGTGTGACAGGCAAACTAAAAATGTAAAAAATTTGCTTTTCTGGGTGCAGCTCACCTCGTTGGTGCCAACCCATCGGCTTTTAAGCACATACTTTTAGGTATTGAGTGTACATATGCACTATTTATTGAGTCGTCCGCTTCACCTTTTTTGAACTCAGTCCAGCGGCTAGAAAACCGTGAACGTTAGAGGATCGGCTGCGTTGATATTCATGTTGTATATTCAAACCATCGAAGCTTGTGTTCCAAGATGATAACACTTATTGAAAGGCTATTTCTGCTGTGTCCAGAAACACTACCGGACATCAAACTACTTACATGATTCCGTCGGATGCAAGCGGTTCTACGGAGGTTGCGATTACCGAATATGCAAAGTCGCCACACATCCTCAGCTCACCGAGGTTAGGTTTCAGAGGCGTAGAGCTTGACAGCGCGTACCAAAGCATTATGTGCAGTGTTAGTAATATGTATCACCGTGAATGCTTCCCAGTTCATCACAAATGTTGTCTTTTTTCAGTTTTAAACTGTCTACTGTAAGCGTCAACTCTTTAATTATTTGATCAAAGATTAATCACCTAAACGTACAGCCTCACTATATATTCTTTATTTGAACTGATTAGAGAGCAAAGTCAGCCTTCAGATTTTTTGTGCAGCGTCCAGGCTTCCGTCACAAGATTGCTAAGCTGCATAATTGTATTATTCTGAAACCCACCATGAAACACATTTACAATGAACTATCGATAAGTGAGACATCCTAAACATTAATTGACATTTAAATACTGTGAAAATCATGTAACTGATTTTAAGTATGAGGAAATGCCACGACATTAAACAACTCAATACAGGCAAAAGACGTGACCACATGGCCTCTAAAGACGCACGAATAGCTCGGCTCTGAGGTAGTAGTTAAGTAATGGTCTACAGTTACAAGTAAATATTTAGTTCAATTAAAGTATAATTATATTTAAATAGTTTACCCACAATGTGTGTAAGCTATTGAAATATAATTATACTTTAATTGATCTAATCCACAATGTTCAAACTTTTTACTAAATATTTAGTGTTTGCAAAATCTATAGGATAATTCTAATTTCATTTTAACCTATACATAATTTTATGTTCACTTTTTAGAATCCTTATGATATAATAATATCCCATCATATGGTGATTGGAAGAATGAGGACTATAAAATGAATTAATTGGGAGCATAAGTTTGAACAACATAACCGGTTACGTATGTGCATTTAATCTACAACAGCTTCAAATTTACGGCAATTGTAAGTAGTTTAGTTGGCAAATATTTTAAATCTTCTGTATTTACGTTCTTTAATGCTGCCGGGAAAAATTAGTGCTAAGTCACAATGTATAATAGGGTTAACATGAAATAACGTCCCTTAAATATGTTTAAATCTAGACTATGAATTATCAGGATTTGATTCATTTCGGACTAAAAATTTTGTGGAAGCTTTCGATCGTAGCTCCATTTTTCTTCTCGTTATTGACAAAGTTCTTTCGAAAAATTTTCTGTATGGACGACATAGTTTACCCCCTGTTATATGCAAATCAGTGAAGTTTAGGATCTTTTCAACGCTCTGCATGAAGTTTAAAACCAGTATGTTTCAAATGGATTCGCCATCAAAATTTTCTGAGACAGTCTCTAAATGTAAAAAAACACAGAAAATTTCCCCTTTTTAAGGATTATAAATCAGAACTCTGTTTTCCAAAACAATTTTTCCCGTGCCACGCCATAAGCCACACTTATTGTGGGAAGGCTGATATGCTGCGCACTTATCCAGCCTAAAGCAGGTATGAGCATGACTGAGGTCAGCGGTCCATTGATTTAAAACCAGTAAGTTATATCACACTGGTTTTTAAAAGTAGGTTTGCTATATATGTTGTTCACATAAAGCGGAACCACATCCGAAATAATGTTCAAGTTAGACGTGGAGCGTTATGTAAGATAAATCAGTTGATTGTGCAATTAGTTTCGACGTAAATTGTTAGGACGTATTCGGAGCTACTGTCTTCCACAAGTTACATTAAATAAAGTAAGCTACAGTGGATGGCCGTGAAATATGAATGTGAGGCTCTGCACGTTTATGTGACATGTTAAGTCGTGACGTTTCAAAAGGCATACGTAGAGTAAAAAAACAGAAATGCAATGGAAAACCATGTATACTTTGGCATGTTATTCTTGACTATAACATCCTTAACTTTTGCACTATTATGAAGGATTTTATATCGATTTACGAGGTACTTTGCTGACTATCGATCATGTTCATCTCAAAGGCACTAAAGTTTCACGATTGGAACTTGAATGTGTCTTTCCCTACATTTATCTGTTTACCCTACGAAAACTGTGATTCTGCTCACTTTTACACCTTTCCAGCAGCTGCTCAGAATCCAAGAGCATTTTTAATATTCTACTCTTGATCCGTCACATCACAGCTAGTCCAATAATCTTGGATTATTATTTAATCTCACTGTGCCTAACTTTCTGAACACCTACTGGATTTGAAGACCTTAACCGAGACTGAATGGTTTTCGGGAATTATGGGCTCTCTGGAAGCCAACCAAACTGTAGTCCAGTGATTTATTATTAGAGTAATTACTTCTATGCTAAAGTCAGTGATTCAATTTCCTTAATCTAAACTTTTGCTTAGATTGTTTTGGTAAACCTAAATAAAACTATCTAAAGATCCATCGTCCTTTTCCTATTCACCTTTTAACATTCCAGTGTTTTCTGTTGCTCTCACCATCGTCGTGTATCCTCATTTCAAGCATACGCTTCGGTTTAATCCTTCCCAAACTTTTCTCTAAATCTGTTGGTATGATTCCTTGTTTAGCCAACAATCTACATGGGCCGCTAGATTTTTGCCTACTGACAGAGCACTAAAAGGTTCTTCTAGTAACTTGAAAGTTCTAAGCTGATTCCCTTGTGACATTGTAGGTTTGCTCAGGTAAATAATTTAAAACTAGGCTGAAATTACTCTCTAGTATTCCTTGATTCTTAATAGTTCTGCAGTCAGTATCTATTCATGATATTGATAAAAATTTGTTCTCTCAATTGAAAAGGCTATCCATCTTTATTTCTTCTTGCAGCCGGCGTTATCAATACGAAATGAACTTTAAAAGTCTCCTGATTGAAACTCTTCTTCAGTTTTAAAACTAACGTAAATACTATTTGTATAAATATGAACCGAACGCCTAAAGAACGTTTAGAGGACTTATTTCGTTCTGCTGAAGATTTCACTATAGTACAAAACATTGATGTTGGTCATTATGCACGGTTCATAAGATCGATGTTTCGTTTATCTGTTCAATATTCAGAAGCAGACCAAAAAGAAAAAGCATATATACTATGCTTAAGAGCTGCACTATGCATTCGGGAACTTCCTACTCATAAGGGCTATCCAAAATTAAATCCACGTGTTCAAGGTGAGCTGAAAAATCTTGGAAAACTGTTGGTAAAGTCCGCTGAAATTCTAAAAGATGATTTGAAGAAAAAGTATATGGAAGAATACAACGGTCAAAATAAATCCGATACAACTGAGTTAAAAAATGATGCTAATGGTGGAGTAGGATCATATCTTAACCATGATTCTGATTCTTCTAGATTATCTTCTGGAAATTCATCGTCATGTAATGGAACATCGAATTCAGAGTGTAATACAGCTATCAGTTCTATTCTTGATCACTCTAAGAAACCTTTTTACAACTATACAGCACATTGTAATTTAACCAAAACATATTTATCACGACACCTAATAAGTGACTTTTTAACTCTAGCTTCTAAAAACACAAGAGAAAATCGCGAAACATGTGGTACTCTTTGTGGTAGACTAATTGACGGTAATTTCTACGTTACACATCTCTTAATCCCAAAACAAAGTGGCACTTCAGACTCATGTGTTACGTATAAAGAAGAAGAAGTATTTGAATATTTGGATAGAAGACAGTTAATCACATTGGGTTGGATCCATACGCATCCTACACAAACTGCATTTTTGTCAGCTGTTGATTTACACTGTCAGCTTTCATACCAGGCTATGCTTCCAGAAGCTATTGCCATTGTATGTGCTCCCAAGTTTGATGATATCAAATGTTTCTCTCTAACCCCTGATCATGGTATTTCATTTTTGTCAAAGTGTAAACTAACCGGTTTTCACCCGCATTCTACAAATCTCCCATTATACGAACAAAGCCAACATGTGATATTTGATGATACTGTTGAACATTTTTCCGAAGATCTCCGATAGTATGTCTGTTGCAATGTACAAAAGAAAATATCTTTTTTTGTTATCATACTTTTAATTTGTGCTGACTTATTGAAAGTAACAATTTACGACGTATAATAATTTAATAATGATATTTTCGTCTATTTTTGTATATTTCAATGTTTAAAAATCTGTATTTGTGACAAAGAATACTTCGATTTCAGCTATGTCAAGCATTTTGAACCCGTGTTATAAGTAGTTTACTTCAGCACTCATCTTTAAGATGAGATTTCCTCCCTTCTAATTCTACTTTATATTTGTAGTAATATTGGATTACTTAAAGAAAATGCTAAGAGTAACATATTGCAAAATGAAGTGGTCACTGATCTCTAGTCATTGTCGCGTCAGCCTTTTGATGTCCATGTAACAACTGAAATAGGTAGTGAGAAACTGGGTTTTAGTGCAAAAGACTGACTAAAATGATGCACTGTCTTGGTCTTCCTTGAAGTAAATGGCTTACTAACCGTCGTTTCACCGTAGAGACTTTGCAGACTGTTCCACTTCAGCGTGCAAAATTAGCATAGGTGGAAAGCTGGCACACTTCCAGTCAGCAGTACAACTTCACCTTCAGACACTTTACTGTATATCAAGTCCTGATAGTTTTTAACTTTCATTATTTTACCAATATTTCCAGAGTAGCTTATTGTATTACCGTAGCGTGGGCCGCTTAACATATCAAAAGGTGTTAGCTGCAGGTTGATATGTTATCATCTGCATAATGACAAATCTCACGTTTTAACTTGCTTTGTGATAGTGTAGTGTAAACACTAATCTTCGGGGTGTAATACATTTTGATTTCTCGGAAATGAAATGAAATCCACTCCCTGAAAGTTATTTAGGGGGTATTTCAGTTTGTCTACTCGTTCCACCTGCTAGGTAGGTAGGTAGGTACATTATGTACTATATAACAAACCTCAGTTCTACTAACCAAGCTAATAACTCAAGGCATTTACAGAAAAAAAATTGACGTCTAAAAGATGCAGTGTTGTATCTGATATATGTGTCACTAAAATGTATTCTAAAAATGAAGTTACATAATTCATTCCGCCAATGCGTATGTCTATTAGAGTTTGTTAGTACTTAACAAAGCGCGTAGATAGTGAATGTATTGAACATTTATATGGAAGTATTCCTACAAAGTCTACTGTGTCCAATAAGTTTTGGAATATTAGGTTGCACATTAGTAAATATAAAATTCCCATATTACAACTTGAGTAGTTATAGTTTGAGGCTTGTAAAAAACCCCTGTTTCCACATGCGATTTTACCAAAAGGGCATAGTTTATATAGTCTTTGAACCGTGTGCTTGGAACAGATTTGGTTTCGAAAATGTGAAGCACTAAGTAGCCAGTGTAAATGTAATGTGATCAAAATTTGAAACCAAAGTTCATACATAGGTAAAATTTGCGAAACACAAGAACTGTGAGTATAGTTTTGTATGCGCTACACAATGTATTAATTCTAATCGAGGTGAAAGTAGATTAACTGTACGTAGTGAAGTAGAGAAATTAACTGAGAGGTAAGTAGGATCTTATTATGATAAATTAGTGCAAATGATAGCTTAAGACGCAAGTTAAATATGGTCATTAAAGTTGTTAGTATTATTTATTTTCGAGGTTGTATCAAATCAATAAAACGCAACTCTATGAAAAGAATGATGAATGTACCTGTAGTTCTTACCACTCCATAAAGGTTGCTTAGATAGCGGTTAGATTAAAAAGTTACCATCATAGTGCAGATCGTTTACTCTGTAATTGGCGTTTTGAAGGCGTAATCGTATTGCCAACGAAGAGGGGTGTAATGAGAGCAAGGTATTCTCGTCGGAAAACTAGTAAGCCAGTTGTACTGCCTCCCTCTTCTGAGGATAGGAAGTGTTACGAGGGGTTGGCCTCGAAAGTCGGTCATCCCGAATTACCTGATGGTGGTCCGTAGCTGGCAGTGAGCTCTTCGTATGGACACAACTCCAATAGATTGCAAGCATTTGTCCCCTGGACTCTCTGCTCCAGGGATTTCAAGGAAAATGGACTTCTACAGTAGTATGGACAGCTGGAAAGTAACAGCCGCTCAAGCACTTACAAAACTCATGTTCTTCACAGACTGTTTAAGGATTTTAGTTTTATGTTTGATTAATTATTCATTACTTGGTAAGTAGCTTTTAGTTATTTCACTGAATCATGAGCAGTAGACATACCAGCCGGCAAGTTTGATATAAATTTCATTGAAGTAACAAAATGAAGAACATCCATCCTGGCATTGATTATAGTGTTCCTTAACAGGAAAATTTTGTATAGAAAACCACTACTAGGACTTCTGTATTTAAAAATTAAGACATTAACATGTAAAATACAACAGATAACTGTTAGTTTGGAGATGTGTGCATTTTCCATGCCTTTCTGTGGTAAGAAGTTGATGTACCACGATACGACTAGAGAACATAACATGTTTCTACGTCATTCAACGATACATGACTTTCAGTGAACTGGAATTTGGACACACTCATTCTAATGTATTTGGCTAACCCTAACAACATGTCTTATACAGTTGGCTCATAAGTGCTATGTTCCAGAATGTTTATACTATCGCATTATTCACAGTTACCTTTTTAAAACTAATAGAAATATTTATAGCAGTAAAAACTAACGCGTTTTTTCAATTTTTGTAATCAGATTATAACATGTATACGCTGACTAAATTAACAGCTTCATTTCACTCGTGACAGATAAATGCGGTACGCTAAGTATGAATATTTCGCGAAAAAATTGATTTGAAGAATCAATAAGAAGATAAATCGATTTCTAGCGGAATGCCTTCCTGACTGCACAATCAAAAACAACGTTAATTGTATTTTTCATTTTTATTAATTAGAAATTATATACACACGCTCATATGAACTATTTGTTTTGAGAAGTATGAAAAAGAGCAAATAAGTAATTAAGGAAAAGATTACTTGATTATCAAGGCTAGATATACAATTGAAAGTTGAATCAAAGTATACAAGAGAAATGATATTTTGTTTTAAATTGTAGGTCTATGCCCAAGACAGAGTAGTTTGTGTTAAATCAAGTACTTGTTTTAGTTTACCTTTTGCATCTGTAACATTTAGCACTATGCGTGGTGGAGATGATTGAGTTGGTTCAATATTATCCTGATTATTATTTGACTTTTTCAATGACCAAGCTTCATCTTTAACACTTTTGTGACTAACACTGATATTGACATGACAACCAGGATGTAGATGACCTTGTTCATCAGCTAAAGCCAAAAGACTAATTATCCTACGTTCAATCTACATAGAAATAAATAAATAAAATAATACAGTGATATTACATGAAAAGAACATTCTTTGTTTATTTATTCTACTTATAGGTAATCAAGTTAAGTTTCCAATTCCAGTCGATTGGGGTGACTGACTGTGGCATGTATTATGCACGCTGAGTAATTGTCTTTCTGGAAATACTGTACTGCACCTTTCAGTGTTTCAAGTTTTGTTTTAAAAGGTACGCATGTGCATCAACACCATTTTTGTACTCTTCCCTTGTGCTGTTAACGCGCTTATTCTCTGAGTCAGTAGTTCAGCCATATCAGCTAGATTAGTTCTAAATCGTTTTCCCTGAATAATCGCCCGACCGAAAGCTGCTACCTTGACGTGGTGGTCGGGCTTGAACACCGCAATGAACCAACAAGCTATACTGGCTGAGACTTATGTCGCTGGAGGTCCTACCATGCCAGAAAGGTTGTTTGGATAGGGGTTAGACAAAAAGCAGTTACCCAATCTAATGCCATGACTCAAACAAAATCACAAAATATCATGCCGAATCGGTCGGGGCCCGGATTAACAACGGCCGCGCTTCCTGCTGCCGTGTCACAAGGCAGAAGTGATATGTATGCTACTGAGACACACCAAATAAAAAAGAACAAACAAAAACAGGCCGCGTGTGACCGACCTCAAGCAGTTGTCCCCTGAGCTCTGCGGTCACGCAACCAACTTCCACGGTGTGGGCAGCCGGGAAGTAACAATCGCCCTCACAATCCGAAATGTACGCGAAACCTCTCTAATCCTCACTCATCTTTGTCTTCATCTTCATCTCTATTATCTTGCCTTCCTTCTACTAATGCAACTCCTCTACTTAATGGCTCTTCACTCTGTGTCCCTGAATAATCTCAACTTTTTATTTCATTCGAATATACTGCTCATTACTTACTTGCGTTTGTTTTCAGTACTTACAAGTTAGGTAGACTACTGTGATTTTATTGGGTAATTAGGCGAACTACGCGTAGTAAGGGCTGGTATAATGGTGTAGCTTATCAGCAGTACTCCCAGTACTTTAACAACACAATGCTAACTAAAGTTGACCGAGTAAAATTACTATACACGTACGCATGAGGTGTCTGAATCTGCGATTCACCTAGCTAATAAGAGATACAATGTCGGGTTGGAACTTTCCATATGTTAAGTGTGTGATTGAAGAATTTTAATAGTATGAATCAAGATCATGTAAAATGACGGATATTTTCAGCCTTTATCATTTTCATTAATTTCAATTAAATTATTATTTCTCTCCCAGTCACATTTTCTCTTTTACGTTGTGATTCTTAAAATATTCACTTTTCGTACTACGAACAACTTAAAATCAAACACTTTTCTATATTGATTTGTTAGTCAGTCTGACGAAATTATGTCATTAAAACAATTATGCTGGCAAATCGTTTGAAAGTTTTATGTACAACTTAAAAGAGCCCAGTGAATGATAAGGATTTAAAAGTATATACACTTTCATGTATTCAAGGTATAAGGAAACTAGAAAAATTATGTCTGAATTAATTTCATACAGACGGTGTCTGTGCAACTAGATGATTATTCATAAAAAATTGTGTCAACTATGCCTCATCTATCCTTTGGCTATTGTAATGTGGTGGAGAGATACATGCAGTGTGTTCCAACGGAATATTGTTCTCACATTACGAATAACTGTTTTTGTTGGTGTTAACATCTGAATACTATTCCCGCAGTTCAATACTGCATTAGCTACAGAATACTATGTATATTTGAACATTCTATTTCATGTCGTTTAATGTAAACTAAAATCACAAGTTCAGAGATTGGCTAAATATAAACTGTAAAGATATAAATAGCCGTTTGATCACTTGAAAATATACCTTAGCTTCCGGGCTAGTTTTGCATATTCCAGTTTACGCTGTCTCTGGCGTAGACGTGATATCCGACTATCGACCAAAGGGCGTGTGTACTGCTCAACAGTCCGCTCCGTCCTCCTTTATGGCTGTGAGACCTGGCCATTGAGAGCGGAAGACATGAAAACCCTGGCTAGCTGCCTTTGATCATAGGTGCCTGCGTCCTATCCTCCTGTGTGAAGTGGTATGATAAGGTGAGCAATACTGAGGTTAGGCGTCGAGTGCTAGGTAAGGCGGGGAAATCAGTCGACGAAACTGTGAAATTACACCAAGTGAGATGGTTAGGACATGTGCTACGTATGCCTAGTCATCGCCTTCCTCGACAATGGGCAATGTTAGCTGATATAGGGCCAGGCTGGAAAAGAGCCAGCGGCGGTCAAACCAAAACATGACACCAGTCAATGAAATCCACAACAGTTAGTCTAAGCCACATAGGAAGGTGTAGACTTCCTGGTTGGGGTCCTCGCGACGGTAAAAACCAATGGTTGGAAACAATTGGTGACATGGCTCAAAATCGTTCTCAATGGCTGGCGCAGATGCATCCACTCCTTGTGACTTATGATTTCCAATTAAACTGTTTTGTTCTTCATTATTACCATTCCTTTGTCTTACACCTCTGTTTACTGTCTGTCTTATGCATTTCTTCTACTTTCTTCTCTTGCTTTGTGTGCTACATGGAGTGTGGCGACTTGAACTGCCCCACATTGGTGCAAAGTTCTATGTCGAAAACCGACCGTCTTGCCTTCTGCTGTTACATTACTATGTTCCATGTTGAACTACTGTGTATTTTATAATCTATCGAATATATTTCATGGTAATGAAAACCATTTCATGTGTTCAGCTCTGATTCAGTATTAATGTGAATAAAGCAAGAAAAACAGTTTTTGCACAATAAAATGGTACCTTCATTTCTTTCGTTGGCTGCTCATCAGCTGCTAACAACCCAAAGACATTATTAAGTATATCTACAGTAACAATTTTATATGCTTACACAGAGCTCATTTTTAAACAAAAAAATCAATATATGCATACAATGCTAATAATAATAAACACTTTATCCCAAACAATAATAATCATACGCAATGGCATCTTTTGACATTGCTTGACGACGTGCAAGTATGTAAAATTGTTTTTGTAGATATAATTAATGTCTTTGGGCTGTAAGCAGCTGATGAGAAGCCAACTAAATAAATAATGGTACCATTTTATTCTGCAAAAACTGTTGTTCTTGCTTTATTCAAATTCATTAAGGGGAATACATGTAAGAAGTGACTATTAATGCTCGGTCTGAGTTTTCTTTTGCAGGCTGATACATTTTGATACAGTTCCTTATCGAATAAATTACTAACCGAAAATTTGAAGTATCTTTTCAGGAGGGGATTCTTATGAATCTAAATACTCTGAAAATTCCTCTCATATGTTAAAGAACCCATGATCACTGATATAATTTAATAATCATAATTAGAATTTCATCAATTCCTTCCTAATGTTAACTACTTTGTATATATATAGTGTGGATAAGCCCTGAATATATGCTTTGATCTTTCACATTTCAATGCGATCGGTTCTGATGTGAAGGTAATAAACCGGCATTTTAGGTGAAACTACGAAAGAATAATCATACAGAAATTCCAAACAAGAACAAGTTCACCATAAGCGACACAAGGGTTGTACTGTATATATTTATCGGGAGAAATAGGCTGATTCCAGAGTATGCGTTTTCAGCAAGTGTTAAGAAGGATTCCTATACACTACTCGTACAAGATTACAGGGAGTTTTCATAAATACATATATCAATTTTAAAGAAGTTCGATAGAAAAGACTATTAGCACTATGTTATCTTACTTCATAATTGATTGAACGTGCTCCATAATAAACGTCATATCCATCTACAATTAGATCAACAACTTCACGACTCCATGTTATTGTTAGTGAGTGTCTTTTCAGTGCCTAAAACGAAAAACACATGGTTTTGAATAAACAAGTTAAAAAGTTTAATGATAACAACAGTGAGTGATGTGTTTATTGAATGAAATGCGAAATGCAAAAAAATAACAGCAACTCGTGTCTACAAATTATGAACGGATAGACGTAATAAAAACTATGCTACATTAATCGGAACCAAAAATATTGAATGAACAGAATGTCGACACAGGTTAGTAAGCTTACTTATAGTGAAAGTATTATATGAATATTCTAGAATCAGGAAAAACTAATACCTACAAGTGTAAAAATTTGGTGCCGTATGTTACATAATGATGACCAAAGTTCGAGAAATTGAACTGATTATTTCGGTAGGTACCAATAATGAAACGAAACCGAAATTGTACATTCAGAAAAGAATACTTTCTTTCCCAATCCCGGGTGGGTATTTTGTTATTTTATTGTAGTGTAAAATCTTTCTACATTCCAATTTCATGTTCAACTTTCTTTCCTATCTGTAGAGTATTCGCTTAATACTCACATAAACAAGTCTACTAGTATCTTTTTACGAATTGATCACGGACTGATATCAGTTAGAGAACCATTGAAAACCAGCACTGGAGTACTGGACAGCTGCTGTTTCATCCTAGTTTGGGAATCACCGGCAGTACGCACCCACTGGGATTCGAACCCAGGACCTTCCGGTTACAAGGTAAGCTAGCTCGTATGCCATTCAGCCACTGGAACCCGACCCGATTCAATGGCTAACCCATGAATTCTAACTTCTACCAATTCGAGTCCGTGATCAGCTCGTAAAACGTAACTAACCCTTACAAACCAAACTATAGGAAATCTACTAGTATCTTTAATTTCATCCATTCAACTATCCGGGTATAAAATTGTGTAAGGTGTCCATCCTTATTTCAAACTAATTAAGTGAAACGTGCGAAATACTTTTTCTGTACAATTTATTCCGTTCAATAATTTTTGTACAGCAAAAACAATAAACATTATGAAATGAGTTGAATTTATTTCATTTGTTGTGACCCACAAATACACAAAGTTCAAAAACTATCTACAATTAGCTAATGTTAGGTGTTATCTTGATGTGTAAGGAATTCATTGATTTCTATGACGGGTTTATCGCAAATCAATATTCGTTAAAGAAAACAACAGTTTTGGAAAGCTGTTTTAGCCCAAATGTTTGATCTCTGGAACAATCATAAGTGTACACAGTTGGAAAGTCCCAAATGAGAGACAAACATCAGTTCAGTAATCTATGACTCATACTAATTTTTAAGATTATATTGCTCCATGATGAAACTGACATAAGAATGTCATAATTAAGTGCAAATAATATGATATGACATTATATATATATATATATACGCAGGAATAAAAATAAAAGTTCATGACCTCTAGTGTTAATAAATACAGAGAACTTGCGTAAATTATATCCAAGATACCGAATCGGATAAGAAAACAGAAGAAAATGATAAGTAATAATACTAATAAGATAGTGTAACTATAGCCCATGTGTGTGAGGGTGTGGTGAGAGCTGGATGCTAGCCAAAGTGGGTAGACAGTAATTGACGTCAATGTTTATGGCCTCAGTATTGGTGGTGAGAAAATGAGAACAAAGGCTTTGCGTAGGCGGATACAGTTAGCATATGGATGATCCGACACAGCCACAAAGAGATACAAGGTTAACTTTCTGTGAGAAACAACCAATCAAAAGACTGTATTTTCTACTAACAATAATGTAGATTAAGATCTATAAATATGTGTTGATTTTCCTTAATAAACGATCTGTTGCCTGGCTCTTGTCTTCTGTTGTTTACAAGGGATCTGATGTGAGAGAGGATGGCTAAGATGTAACAGAGATGGTGTAATAAGTTGAAGAAATACTGGTAGGACCGTGTGACAATCGGCTAGGCGGCATGATCAGAACATTTAGAATGAAAATAAATTACACATGTTAGAAATAACATTTTAAAGATGATATGCAAAAGAATAAGAGGAAATAATAAAATACAGCTGTAGGAGAACGACAAATTATCAAAGCAATTAAAGGTGAACTATTAAATCTTTTTCAACTACAGAATACTGTTCCATCTCGACAACCTAACAATCTATTTATTTCGTGAAAAGCTGTGTGTGTCAGAGTCAGTGGCTTATTGTCTACTAGTGATACTGTATAATAGTTTTGAATTTTTATTATGATAAATTTTCCTTCACAAGGATCGATCCAGTTCATCCGTTGGTATCCTTTTCGTATATTTCAAGGAGTAGTATTGTAGTCGACAGTTTCCATTTGAGAGAAGTACTTGATAAAGTAACTTTGTATTTTAGTTCTTATATATGCATGTGGTGAGAGCTGTCTACTAGCCAAATTGGTAGACAGTAATTTACGTCAGTATTTACGTTCCCAAGATTTGTCGTGAGAAAATGTGAACAAAGATTGACTTTGCGTAGGCGGATGCAGTTAACATATAGAGGATTTGACATTCAAGAAACAGTCACAAAGAGATGAAAGATTAACTTTACGTGAGAAACAACCAATCGGAAGACTGTGTTTGTTTGCTTAAATATCCATAATAATGTACATGAAAATATATAAATATGCGTTGATTTCCTTAATAAATGATCTGTTGCCTGACTCTTGCCTTCTGTTGTTACATGCATAATAAATTGCAGCAATCAATGAATTATCAACAGAGGTTACTTCCTTCACTTATCTAGGAAGCATCTTTTCAACTACAGGCGGAACGAATGAAGATGTCAAAGCCAGGCAGAATTGGAAAGGCAAGATACGCCTTCATCAACCTAAAACCAGTTTGGAAATTTTCTACACCCACTCAGCATAAACAACAATATTCGGATTTTCAAAAACAATGTCAAGTCGGTCCTTTTATACGGGTCAGAAACTTGCACTGTGTGTCACGAAAAGGATTTCCAACAGGTTGCAGACTTTTATCAACAGCTGTCTTTGCTGGCTCCATAATGAAGACCAAATGGCTAGGAAGAATTACTAACAAGAAACTCTGCAGTGGAACAAGCCAACAGGCGAGAGCCGATTGCTCAACAAATATGTAGGAGAAAATGGAGATGAATCGGGCATACGTTGAGGAGGCCGTCGAATGACATCGCGCGCCAAGCCCTCGAGTGGAATCCAAATGGTAAGCAACGAGTGGGTCATCCTAGGGTGAAATGGAGGAGGTCATGAGAAGACGAGGTGAGAGATTATGGGGAATCGTGGACCCAGCTGGGGAGGACGGCAGAAAATAGAAGAAAGTTCCACTCGGAACCCAAGGGAATAATAACAATCTTACCCTAGAGGTGAGGTGTTGAACAATAAAGTAAGAAAAACGAAAGCAGAGGTTTCATTCCAATCAATATATCATTTTGTGTACTGTAGAATAGATCAAACTTTATTCGAAGTTCATATCATCAAGTCGAAAATTTAAGTAATATGCAATATTCTTTATTACAATTTTCAGACATACAAGAGTATTTTGAAGTCAATTGGTGGATGGTGACTAGCAATGGAATCCAGAAGGCTTATTTCGTCATTTGGATGAGTGAAGGTGTTCCCACCGAGGCTCGAACCTAGTGCTAATAGTTTAAAACGCCAAATTACAAACAACAACACAGATGAAAACGAAATCATAAGTAAATTTCAAATAATTGACAAACTGATTTAGAACTAATCCAGTAGTATGCAAGCTCTATTTGAAATTAAACCACAATTCTCTGACTACATAATAGAATTATACAATAGTATTTCTTACAATTATTCAGCTAACACCCACACACACATACACTATTGACTTAGCTGTAACACTTCTAAAAAAGGAATTCTATACAGATGAAAAGATGAGCTGACAGTTTAACATTTACCTAATGAATTCGAGCAGGTATAAATCAAATGTAGTCATAAGATTTATCGAGGGGAATGAAAAAAAAAACCCAACTCAGGTGCTATGTGTAATTTAAATACAACACAGACTGATTTATAAAAGTAATGAAGAAAAAGGCATTAACGACGTCAATAATTTGGCATTCAAGTTCATTTTAACAAAAGACACACTTAAAATGAATAAATAATAAAAGATGACTATATATAGAAAGAGTTCAGACGTATCGAATTTTGCACAAATAATCTCTGGAAATCAACCGTTTTATGGAACTGATATTCACCAGTCTTCATAGAAGTTAAGTCAGCCTATTTTAAGAACACGACAAATGCATATAAAGCTGTGTGAGCAACACTTGCTGTCTCGATTTTGACGATACTACTGTCTGCATGCTGGACCTCTAGTGTGATGCACAATCCAGTGTTTAAAAACTCACATTGTATCACTTGTCAAGAGAGATTTGTGAACGTATGATTACTAAGAAAATAAAGCAACTTGGGATCTAGTTTACCAAAAATGACTAAATACAATCTAAGTTCAATATTATGAACTCAATTACTGAACGATTTATGGAAAAGATTTGAACACTGTAAAAACAAAAACTACCCATTAAAAATAACTAACCTTTTCACTCCAGCTTTTTAAACTACGATTGACTAATTCTGTAAGTTCAGATGTTGAAAACGGTAGAAAATAAACCATCTCATTAATACGACCAAGGAATTCATCACGAAGAAAATGCCTCTGTATATAAATCATGATAAATGCAAAGATTATGAAAAGAATTATATATATATATATATATATATATATATATATACATTACACAGTTGAAAACGAAATCATAATTACATTTCAAATAACTGACGAAGCAATTTAGACGTAATCCAGTACTATACAAGTACTACTGGAAATAAAACCGCATTTCGCTGACGACATAAGGACACATTGCTAGGTTATTCAAATGCATAAGAATGACTGTGTTCAAAAGCTTAGTTTCCTGATGATCCTGTGTTTCTAATGGCATAGCAACATGCCTGACGCCGTCAGTCGCTGAGGTTTTTTCTTAAACATGATAAGCTTTATGACGTAAGCAGTTATAAACCTGACTGTATGTATCCCTATTAACACTTAGTAAAAGACGACTGTTACACCAAAGATATACTACAATTGAAATCATGAATTGTAAAGTAGTAAGAAAATCTTTACAACACTACACTAATTGATCAACTTTTTATTGACCGTCTAAACCAGAATGTAGGGTGATTACATATTGTGTCCTTGTAATAGCATTGTTATTACACTTATCAGTTTATTGTCTAAATGTCTTTTTCTTTCTCGGCATAAAACACAGGGTCAAAGTTTATTTTTAAAATCAATTTCACCTTTTTTTTTCTCATTTGCTTGAATCAATTTATTCTCGTCTGTAATTACAAACTGGACTATCTAAATGAAGCAGTTTATGTCGTCTTCATTTAAAGAACAGGAACACAGACAGTATCTGTGACAATGTAGGCAAGAAAGTATGGAATAAAATAAAAACCAAACACAGAAAGTCTGTGTTGATGGTAGTCCCAGCCATAAGTTTACCTGGAACTAGCTAATAGAAATCTAATACTCAGTCATTTTGAGAAATACAAGATACACTACTTGGAGATTTATGCTACATTAATTGGTAATTTATAGTTAGCAGTGTAAGTGCCAAATATTGCTAATGAGACGGATACGATATACTGGTGTAAAAGTGTGAATTGGTGCATAAAAAGTAACTATTAAAGCTGTGAAGAGACAAAAGCTTCGCATTTTTTTATTATGATGACAATTATTTAATATTCAAATTTTTGAATTTGAATGGATTTAAAAACTATAAAAATTATAATTGTCCAAATTATTTTATTTTTATTTATTTTGACCACTTCATCTTTAATTACGTGTTATCCTTGTAAAATTAATTTATTCTAACCATTTCTACCTTTTAAATGTGTATCGATTTTCTTCGTTAATTATCAACCTATTGACATTTTGACACTGTTTAATTATTGTTAATAAACATATCGCCACTTGGTTGGTAAACTGTTGTGTATCGTAATAAAAATGCTATATATATTAGAGTAGAGCCAGAGATGAGGATCTAATTGAAAAGTAAATATTTCTTCGCTCAATCTTTCTGTTTTCTAAATGTCTAAATGGGGATTTTTTCTATATTGAATGGATTCTGACTAATTTCATAAATAAACGACATCGGTTAGAGAATCATTGAAAACGAAGGTTACTTTCGTGACAGTAGGGTCCCAAAATGTTTCATTGTGAGGAAGATATTCATCGACGATGTTTTTAAGTCATGGCACTACATCGCAAACCTCCATAAGTTAGGATTCATAGGACATTGTGTGGTGAGAGCTGGCTGCTAGCCGAAGTTGGTAGACAGTAGCTGACGTCAATGTTTATGTCCCCAATATTGGTGGTGAGAAAATGAGAACAAAGGCTTTGCGTAGGCCGATACAGTTAGCATATGGATGATCTGACACAGCCACAAAGAGATGTAAGGTTAACTTTCTGTGAGAAACAACCAATCAAAAGACTGTATTTTCTACTAACAATAATGTGCATTAAAATCTATAAATATGTGTTGATTTCCCTTAATGAACGATCTGTTTCCTGGCCCTTGTCTTCTGTTGTTACAATTGAATTTTAACCCACTGGTTAATGGTCTCGAGATCTGAGCTAATTAAAACTCAGTTACCTGGTACCGGGCTGTGAGCCACACTCAATGTGTGATGACTGACGAAACTACCCAGTTGCACAGGTGTAAGTAAGTGAAGCAGGATTCGAACCTTAGACCCACTAGCTAGAAGCTGAATACTTAAGCCAATGGGCCAAATTTGAAGGTTTTAGGGATGATCCCTGTAGGGGTTGTGAATACGTAATGTTCAACAGTTCTGAACTATGATGACGAAACAGCTTTTCAGTACTCCATAGTTTTAAATGATTCTTTAAATGTCAGTTCATTATGAAATCTACAATGAAACTATTTAACAAATATTCAATGTAATAACCAGCTTTACGCTATTAACTTAATCCGGTGCTGAATGTATATTACTCTATACAGTAAACTTTCATGCTTTATAAATAAGTAGTTGTAACTTTATATTACGCCAATAAACAGTTATAATATGTAAAATGCTAATTCATTTATCGATTTTAAAATCAGCTGATCTTCACTTGATTTCATATTTTAATCATTCATCATATCAAGGACTCTGTATTCAATACCTATATGATGCATTGTTAATAAAATAATTAAGGAAATGTTATTAATGTTGAAACTTCAAATTTAAAAAACGCCTTTTTAATATGAATTGCTTGTTATTTGGTGAAATTATTACTTGTATTTACCGTTCATTGATTTTATTGGTGCAAATACTCCTAGTTTTGAAAAGAGACAGTGAATTGATTGAGCGAGTCGACCACTTTATCTGTGGTGAGAGCTGTCTACTAGCCAAATTGGTAGACAGTAATTTACGTCAATATGTACGTTCCCAAGATTAACTTTACGTGAGAAACAACCAATCGGAAGACTGTGTTTGTTTGTTTACATATCCATAGTAATGTACATGAAATATATAAATATGCGTTGATCTCCTTAATAAATGATCTGTTGCCTGACTCTTACCTTCTGTCGTTACATATCTACTTGAGAAGTTACATCGGTTGCACTGGCTATGAGATGTGCATGTTGAAAATGGTAAACATGAAGAGACTAACTCTCTTTGACTGAAAATATATGCATTGTATTAAGTGGTATAAGATAGTGAGTAATATAAGGAGAGAAACTGAATCGATGGGGTTGTGAAACTACATCGAGTGAGATGGCTAGGACACGTGTTAAGCATACCAAGCCATCGCGTTTCTAACCAAGCAGTGTTAGCTGACATAAGATTATGTTGTAAATTGTTTAGATATAGTCAAATCAAAACATAGCATTAATCTATGAAGTCTTTAGCAATTGGTTTAAAGTTTAAACTGTTTCGAGACGCCAAGAACCAATGGCTTGAGACTACTAGTGGATAAACCTGAAGATCGTCTTCGATGGGGACAGATGCATTCACACTCTTTGTAATCTCCTGGATCCATTATTCTCCACATACTTATTCTTTCTCCCGTTGATTTCTGCTCATTATGATTCTTTTGAATCTCTTTTTTACTACTTTTGTGTGCAACATGGAGTGTGTTAACTTTTATTGTTGCATTTTTTTGTCAAAGTTAACAACTAAGTCAGCCAGCAGTTCGATTGTCCGCTTCTAGTACGAACTCTTCAACTATGCTTTAAATTAAACATGATGTCATTTGGCTGATGGTGGTGGTGATAGATGAAATCCAGGACACGCATTTCATTTAGTTGGTGAATCGAGAAAAGGAAGGAACATGCATCCTGGATTCTATTGCCAACCATACGATATCACTGAAGTGTGCGTCGGTGGCATAGCGGTTAGGACACTCGCCGACCATGCACATGGTCCGGGGTTCAATCCCCCTCCGACGCAATCCTTTACCTCACTAAGCCAGAAATAATCCTGGTGAAGAGGAAAGGTTGGACGTGAGGCTAGCAACCCCATCCTGTAAAAATAAACACTGCTACAGAAACTCCAAGCCTCTAGCTTGAAGCCCTATGTTCCACTGGGGAACGTGAAGGATAAAAAAGTGTGCGCTTTACAACTGAACAAAACAAACACAATATAAACTTGGTGATATAATTTAAGGAGATAAATGTCCGGTTGAATATATCAACCCTTGGAATTGTACCTGTAAGAGGCATACGAGAATAGCTAATTAATTAATTACAAAAGAGTAAAAATCTATACCAACTCTGATAATCTCATGAAAAATGAACACCAAAATGAGTATTAATCAATGTTTCAGACAGAGAAAACAAACAAAAGGTTGTGTGTATACATACCACGTAAAAGGAAAAGACTTTAATCAAAACACGCCTATTCATTTGTTTGTAAACAACAACAAAAAATGACGCCTACATTAACAGTGGTAGCTTTTCCTACGGGAAGATTTTAAATCACTGATTCACCTCGAAATGATGTTTTCCAATGATACATGAATTCATCCAATTGTGTCACTTTTTAGTAATAACTTCGTATTCCGTTAACTTTCCATTCAAAAACTCTAAAACTGTGTATACGACTACAAACACAATGGAATTCGTATATCCAATTTACTAACGTGGCTCATTTCACTTTCAATTAATGAGTTTCGGATTCGAATCCAGCTCCAACGACTTCGGCCGGTGCAAATATCAGGCCTCACTGTCAATAAATATGCTTCGATGCTTGCTACATTGTTGTCTAGAACTGATTGACTGACTGATTTAAACATAGAACTATCCATAGATATGCAGCAGTTCGAGTTGCCAAACTCCCCTCCACGTAGCACACAAAGCAAGAGAAGACAGTAAAGAGAGAAACTTAACAGAAATACATGCAAACACAGTAGTAATATGGAAGAACAGTAGAGTTTTATCGGCTATGATAAATCACAAAGAGTGAATACATCTGCGCTAACCATTGAGAACGATTTTGAGCCAGCCATATCACCTATTGTCTCCAGCCTTCATTGGTTTTTACCATCCCGAAGACCCCAACCAGCCAGCCTACATCTCCTAACTTGTCTTAAACTAACTGTTGTGGATTCCATTGACTGATGATGCCATGTTTTGGTTTGAGCACCACCAGCTCTTTTCCAACCTTATCTTATGTCAGCTAACATTGCCTGTAGTCGAGGAAGGCGATGGCTAGACATGCGTAACACATGTCTAAAACAGTTAAAGGTAAATTAGTGAAAGAAAAGCGAATTCTTTATAAGCGAAAAGAAAATGGAGTATGTTAAATAAAGCAGAGAATTAAAATAATGTTCGCTGAGCTGGTTGGTTTAGTCGCGGAGCTTTCTCCCGGTATCCGGGAGACGCAATTCTATCACTCATGGAAAATTTAAATCAGTTCACTTTACGCTGAGGATGTCCAGAAGGATGACGAAAGCTCTGTAACTAAACCAGCCAGCTCAGTGAACACTACCAATTGCAAATCATCCACCTGAGTTACAAAAAATCTTCTCTATTAATTGACTTACTCTTAAAATTGGACGCATAACTTTTTCTTTAAAATCTCGAGAAATTTCAATATCAGCTTCTAAATTAAAAGAAAGAAAAAGCAATAATAGTGAGAAAAGTGTGAATAAAAATCTTACAGATAAGAAAAGAAGTGTATTCATACATAGATGTAAAGGTAATCATTAAGAAAGAAGATAATTAACTTGGCAATTTTGAAAATTTATACTGTTTAGGAATTTAGTAATAATAATAATTTGCTTTATTCCAGAAACAGTACTAGTGGTACAGTGTGGAATTTTCAGCACATATCTACAATATTTGCATCTAATTTTATCAAACATTTAGAAGGAGTATTTCAAAAAAAATAAATGTAAAGGCAACAAAAACAAACACAAAAATAATAAAGAAAAATGCGAAAAAATACCAAGAAGTAGAAAGGAAAATAAATAATATTCGCGTATTGGGTAGTGGAAGCTGTGATATGTTTATGCATGGTTACAGTAAAGCTATAGCCATACAAGAAGTTATGTAATGATATTTAAGAATGTTTATCGCCAAGATGATCAGTTAATTTGACTGAACAACACTAAACAATCATAAAATAACATTTCAGGGTTTTTTATTGAAAGCTCTAATGCGGTGTTTGTGGTGGTAGTGTGAGTAATCCTGCATAATACAAAATTTTAAGATGGTAATATTGGCATTCACAACCAAGATTGTCAGTTAATATTGCCGAACAAAAAACAACAACAACCACAAAACTAATAATTACATGATGGTTAATGACAGGACAATTTTGTAATACTCATAGTCCTAATATAGTCGGAACCAGTAGATACACAAAAGAAGGAATAAAGTACAAAAAAGGAAGCCAATGTTCATAATTTAGGTAGCTAAGTATGTTTAAGAAGGAGTTCACAATTGAATACAAAATAAGAGTGAAATAAAAGAGCCTAAAATTATGTTATTAACAACAAAGCAAGTCATAGGTTTCGCGCTTAACATTGTCTCTGTCACTTAGAACACGGGCCAAGTATGGTATTTCATTAGGTACACAATGAACCTGTAATTCTGACTTAAGATTTCTGTTATTTCTTTCAGAAGTAATACATCCACTCTATTACAAACAAAAGGTAATACACCGAAGTGAAACAGTAAAAGAGAATTAAAAATTAAACAAGTAACTAATGTCCAATCGCTTAAATGAAATCATACTGTATTTGAGGTAAATAAATATGATTAACTGTTTATGTGTATAAGCACAATTCAGTCTACTCGTATGTGTATCACCTTAATATCGATCGGCTACTTTAGACTATCAACAAGACGACTCTAGCAGATTTAGACTTCCCGTGGACGAAAATCATTTAGCCAGCTAAAGAGGATTGCAGAGAATAGGATGAAGTGGAAATGCGATGTTGAAGCTCTATGATCCACTCGGAACTTAATGGAATTTTCTATAGTTTGGTTTGTAAGGGTTAATTATGTTTTTACGAGTTCATCACGGACTGATATCAGTTAGAGAACCATTGAAAACCAGGGAGTACTGGACAGCTGCTGTTTCATCTTATTTTGGTAATCATCGGCAGTACGCACCCACTGGGATTCGAACCCAGGACCTTCCGGTTACAAGGCGAGCTCGTATACCATTCAGCCACTGGGACCCGATTCAATGGCTCACGACCCCAACGACAATGGTTGGGGTCGCGCTAAATCACGAATCGGTAGAAGTTAGAATTCATGGGCTAGCCATTGAATCGGGTCGGGTCCCAGTGGCTGAATGGTATACGAGCTAGCTTGCCTTGTAACCGGAAGGTCCTAGGTTCGAATCCCAGTGGGTGCGTACTGCCGATGATTACCAAAATAGGATGAAACAGCAGCTGTCCAGTACTCCCTGGTTTTCAATGGTTCTCTAACTGATATCAGTCCGTGATCAACTCGTAAAAACTTAAGAGAATAATAATAATATATGACACCTGCATCTGGTTACGTATAGTTCACCAGTGAATACGCCGAAAAAAAATTCCAGTGAACACACAGCTGAGATTAAAATGTTGTTGAAGTGATAAGTAGCTGTTTATGCTGCTTTAATTAATGTTAGTTTTGGTAGGGCATGTTTAATATAATGGTCGTTGATAATTGAAATATGCGTTAAACTTAGACACTGTGGTAGTTATGATTCCATACTGGTTTGTTCGTTATATATAGATCACACAATGAAATGGTATTTTAAACTGAATGACATTTCGAATACAACTTATAACTCATAATCTTATCAACTATAAACTCTACTACTTCGATAAAAACTCATTTTCTAATTTGTTTAGTAACATTTGACAGGATTATGAACAATAACTTGTTTACGAAACATTGTCCAGTAAATACTGTTTAACTATGTAAACAGTAAACAATTTAATATGATAACAACTGAAGTTTAAAAGGAAAGCTAGATTGCAACTTGACTCAAAACATTGTTATATGTTTGATTTCTTTGATAGGCAAACTAGCATTGGGGCCAATGTTGGCAGATTTCTGTCTAAACAAACTGGTGAATGTTCCTTTGAACAACTTTATCAGAAAACTCTCATTTTACTGCCACTATATGGATGATACCTTCATTCTTTGTGAAAATGTTTCGGAAAGGAACACAATAATAACTCAATTTAATGAAGTACACTCGGCTGTCAATTTCACGTGCGAAGAGGAATCCCAAAATAAAAATTACCTTCCTAGATGTCCTTCTTACAAGAAAATCAGATGGTAGTATAAAGAGAAAATTGTATAGGAAAAGTAAATGGATAGGACAATATACATATATTCATACCTTTGTTCCTCTCCAGTACGAAAGCAACTAAATAAGGACACTTAGCTACAGGGTCAGAGCTATCTGCTCAGAAGATGCGATTGAAGATGAACTTAGCACTGTATATGACACTTTTATTGGGAATTTTTTTATTCCTTTACGTTCCCAGTGGAACATAGGGCTTCAAGCTAGACTTGAAGTTTCTGTAGCAGTGGTGATTATTTTTACAGGATGAGGTTGCTAGCCTCATGCCCACTCTACCGCTGTGCCACCGACGCAAAACAGCTATGCAGAAAAGGTCACCAAGAAATACATGACTAAGAAAGTAGAAAAGGACTATTCGCTATCAGTAAATAAGAAGCCTTTATATATACAGCTGCAGTTCAAAGGTGATGTACCGAGTGAAATAATTACTAACAAGTTGAGAAAATCTATTCAAAGAACTTTTAATGTCAGTAAACTACAAGTCATATTTTCTACACTACTGGTTATGAATCCTCAATTGAAAGATGAAGTATCTAGACTACCCACATCTAATTGTATCTACCAATTCAACTGCGCTTGTGGAGCGAGTTATAATATTGACCGTTGCTATAGGAACTTGACTTTTTGTGCTCGCACGGGAACACCTACAAGTGTTGCTCAATAAAGGTGTAGTGGAAAAAAATCAACAGCTCGATAATTGACTACCTCGTCTAAACCAGCATTGAAGAATCCTTCTACATCATCTATCCGGCAAAAGCAACCATGGACCGAATACTCCAGACAGCAGAGGCTATTACGATTCGCCTAAAACAACCGGTGCTTTGTGTTCAAAAGAAACAGGTTCAGTCACTCCTACTGCCCTGGCCTTCTCTGGAGCTTAATTTGTCTGATATTCCGTGTAGTGTTATGTTGATGTATATTGTCACGCTTTTGAACTTTAATCTATTGATATTATTGATTCGTTGTTATCTAAACATTAATGTTGCTAATAGCCCTAATTCTTTCATTATTATGGATATATAACTATAGAACCTGATGAAGTTATTGAAAAGAATATTCTTCGTTCAGTATTCAGTCCTTTGAAATTTCTAATGGGCACTTATGATCAATGTAATTTTTTTTCTTAATTGCATCTTCGTAGTCTTCTACAGCCACGCAAAAGGTCCTTGCTCAATTACTGGCCGACAGCATTCTTAAACCTCACCTAGCTAGTAGTAAGGCCAGAAAAGAGGGAAGGTTGCATATAAGGCTAGCCACCCCTCCCCGTAAGAAACAACATCACCGCTACTGCAAATCCAATGCTTGATGCCCTGAGTTCCACTCGGAAAGCAGTAAGTAACTAATATCGTGCGTCTAGTCCTTTTTTGGTACAGACTGAATTCTATCAGTCATGTTTGCAATGTGGCTCCCATGGTAGGTGGCTAGCCATCAAATTACACTCTGAATTATTGTTATTAGATGATTGAAGACAATCGGAAGAAAGCTTTGGACCTAGATTTTGTGTTTGATGGCAGTTTTCGACAAGGTATATATGCAATCTTGAAGGAAATCATATCCCCTCTGAGACTCGAACCTGAGTCACCTAGTGCATGATGGCCACATTGCAAACTTGACTGGCAGGATTCAGTCTGCATAAAATAAAGGACTATCAAAGTATCCACTATAGTCCTACTGGAGGTCAGTCGCCAGCCTGAATAGCTCACTAGTAACACCTTTAACTACATCAGTCAGCCACCCTCCTTCGAATCTCAGAAACTATATGAATTCCATCAAGATTGTAGATACTGCTTGCTGACAATTGCCAAAAACCATAGCACCTAGGTCAGACTGGGCTTCCTTCAGATTGCCTTCAACCATCTAATAATAGCAGGCTCTCTTGAAAATCTTCAGCTTTTAGGTAAATTTGCACCTCCTGCTGATTGATTATATTAGACCAAAATACTCCGTTTTTATTAACATGTTAGCTCCTAATACGGACGCTTCAACGATGTCTGAAGATTAACACGAAGTAGAATCAAGAATTCACATTTCGTCCTATTCGGGACTCTTCGTCTGGATGTACTTGCATTCCAAGTCAGTGTGATGGTGTTCCCACTAAGAGATCGTTGAACAATCCGTACTAGCAGTTGACACTGTTGAAAGACACCAAGCATTTCGATCTGGCATTATCAATCGATCAACAGGGAACGCAAATCAACGTTAAAACAAAGGATAACCGATACACGTTACACAAGAGGTGGTTTTCGTGGTCCTAGTGGATATTGCTTTGACATTTAAAATGATAAGTGTAG